ACATTTATCCTGTACATGTGGCCCACCCATTGTCTCTGCGATTGTGTTTATTCTAATGTTATTTTGTTACTGTATTCATATGTTTTTATGTAATTTTGATGCTGTTGCTTGTTGCTTTATGTTTTGGTTTTATTTTGCTGTAATATGTTGTCTGGGCTTGGCCCCATGTAAGCCGCTCCGAGTCCCCATTGGAGAGATGGTGGCGGGGTATAAATAATAATGATAATAATAATAATATTAATGAATCTATAAATCCCAATAACGATAACCCCCAAATGACAGAATCAATCCCCCCCCCCCAACTCTTTCAGTATTCAAATTCAAATACATCCTACATATTGGATATTTACATTATGATTCATAACAGTAGCAAAATTACAGTTATGAAGTAGCAACAAAAATAATGTTATGGTTGGGAGTCACCACTACACGAGGAACTGTATTAAGGCGTCACGGCATTAGGAAGGTTGAGAAATGCTGCTATAAGCAACACAACCAGTCATGAAGCTGACTCCCCAAAAGTGTTACTTCAACTGATTTCACCCAAACCTTCTCAAAGATTATTACCTGATCATCCTGGCTTCTTGGCTCTTGCTTTGTTGTGGCAAGGCCCAGTTGTCCTTATGACTCTATTGCCGTTAATATGGTTTAATGATGACACAGCAGTAACTTTTCAGAGTGTTATTACATAACAGAACTTTGTCACTCTTTTTACGACAAAGTTGCCCTTCTTAGGTTGTGTTTAAAGAGTAAAGATCTTGTTTATGAGAGAATCCTATATATGAAATCTCTTTGAGAGACTATTTGTATTTCAGGAATTTAAGGTTTAGAAACGGCAGTGGTTTCTCCCCTTCACAGCCAAAGCTATTTCGCATATTAATTATGTGGGCATTTTCCATCTAATATATATAAAAAATGTATGACTGGACTTGCTTGTTGAGCAAGGCCTGAGCAATATTTCAAGTATCTCAGCTGAACCTGTGGTGCTTTTCTGGGTGGGAGCCAAATATTATATACTAAAGAGGGGGAGGTGCATATAAGGTATCTTGGGAATTATTCAAAATTATTTCTAATAAAAACTGTATCTTTAGTTTATGAACAGATTGCTATTATGAACAGATGGTGGCCCTCACCACCCCTCCTCTCCAAAATTAAGTTTCTATCAAAAGCCTTGTTTTCTGTCCTTCCCTGCATTTTGCAATAGGAAAACCCATTTGCCTAAAGCATTCATGTGTGGTCCTGTGGCAGTGGAGAGGGGGTCTTTCAAAAGGAGTTTGACAAGGTGTTGCAGATGTGTTTATCTGGGGGGCAGGTGTGAAGTAGCAAAGGACCCTGGTGGCCTCAGATTTTCACATTTGTAGAGGTATTTTGTCATCTTTTACTGGAATTGATTTATGTAGCTGCTTTCAAATTGAAGGTAGCCCTAAAATGTGTATGTTTGCAAGCATCTTTGTTCTTCAGAGGGTGAATACTGGACAGAAGGTTGTTGTAAGGACAGAAGGCTCTCTGTGCATTTTGGAGTCCAAAAGAAACTAAGGTTCTGTGTTTTCCTGCAGCCATTAACCAACATCATCCATACTTTTTAATAAATATATATAACAAAGAGTCTTCGTTTTTTGAATATACTGTGTTTTCTCTTGATGTCCTGGGACTGTCAAGAGCACTGTGATTCCCAAGGCTGAGATTAAATCTACCTTTCATCAACCTGATCTTCCCATTGTAGAGAAAGTGTGATACACAAAAAATTAGGTTGTAATCATTGCGCTGCCCTTTGAAGCAATGATCTTCAAGATTTCTGTCACCTCCCTAAATGATGCTTCCTCTGGGCATGCCACTCTGGGCTATAGTCCATTTACCATAGTTGTTCATAAACTGCCTTTGTTTTCAGTTCAACTAGATTCACATCTAGTATTGGCAAAACACCATTATGTTTTGTTCTCGTTTTGAACATCTGTGGATGACTAAAATGAATGTGCCTTGAGAGCATGCAGTGCATCTTTGAAAAACTAGAATGTGTCTCTGTGTATGGATATTTCAGCCTGTATCATGAGTTGTGTTGTATTTGTTATTTCCTCTCTCGTCAGTGACAGAGGTTATTTCAATGACTTCACTTCAAGTATATTATCCTTGTATTCTGTCTGGGGGCACTGGGATGGGCTAAGCCTATAGATTTATATAAACAAATGTCCCTAAAACTTATTTCCTAGCATGTTCACATTAATTAACAAATACACACACATATACTTTCTCTCTGTGTGTGTGTGGTTCCTTCCACACAGCTGAATAAAATCTAACATTTTCTGCTTTGAACTGGAATATATGGCAGTGTGGACGCAGATAACCCAGTTCAAAGCAGATATTGTGGGATTTTCTGCCTTGATATTCTGGGTTGATATTCTGGCTGTGTGGAAGGTCCCTGTCTCTCTCTTACTCTCTCTATGAAAAAAATAGCCTTTTGCCATGTGAGCAGACTGAATCTGGAAAATACCACCTGTATCCTCCCTCTCCTGTTGCCACCTGCAACTCAAATATTTTAAGCGTGTTTTTCACAACTAGTTTTATTTTTAAACTAATCATTTGAATGCTTGTTTAGCTCTGCTGCTCTGTCTCTGAGGGCTCTTTCTTACTTGTGGTGTTTTCCTGTGTGCTGACAGAAAGGTGTTGATAGGGAGCAAAAAGAGGTATAATTAAAAGAAGAGTCTCCCGAGCAGTTCTTGTGTACTATATCCTTTACCCAAAAGTGCTTTTTTACAGGCTGGTACAGTAGAGTCTCGCTTATCCAAAACAAACAGGCCAGCAGAACGTTGGATAAGTGAAACGTTGGATAATAAGGAGGGATTAAGGAAAAGCCAATTAAATGTCAATTTACATTATGGTTTTACAAATTAAGCTCCAAAATATCATGTTTTACAACAAATCAACAGAAAAAGCAGTTCAATAAACGGTAACGAAAACACTAGCTGTCCCCTGCCATGCGTTGCTGTTGCCCAGTCTGGTGATCTGGAAAATAAAGTAATGAGAAAGTGTTGGTTTCTAATATATGTATTCCTTTATGCTTGTGGGTAAACAGTGTTTCTTGTTGTTTATTTGTCAGTGTTGATGCAGAGATTGTCTGGTTTGCCTACTCTGGAACATGCAGCATATAATTGTCCTTCTTTAGGGGTCCTTTTCAAATCTATGATACTATCTCTCTCTCTCTGTGTTAATCATATACTATATGAACTATAAATCCCAACAACCTCAACTCCCAAATGTCAAGGTCTATTTTCCCCAAACTTCACCAGTGTTCACATTTGGGCATATTGAGGATTTGTGCCAAGTTTGGTCCAGATCCGTCATTGTTTGAGTCCACTGTGCGCTTTGGGTGTGGGTAAACTATATCTCCAAAACTCAAGGTCAATGCCCCCGAAACCCTTCTACTGTTTTTCTGTTGGTCATGGGGGTTCTGTGTGGGAAGTTTGGCCCAATTCCATCGTTGGTGGGGTTCAGAATGCTCTTTGATGTAGGTGAACTATAAATCCCAGCAACTACAACTCCCAAATGACAAAATCAATATTTTTGAGTGATGGTCACTCCTTGGCCTGATAGGTGAATTGTGTCCAAACTTGCTGTCAGTTCGTCCAGTGGTTTTTGAGTTATGTTAATCCCACAAACGAACATTACATTTTTATTTATATAGATTACTGTATTTACCAATTTAGCACCAAAACATCACAATGCATTGAAACAGCTGTGGATCCAGGCAGGAGGCAGACTGCATTGGATAATACAGAATGTTGGATGAGCGAAGGTTGGATAAGCGAGACTCTTCTGTAATAAAATACAATGGATCCTTGGCATCTACTCGTGCTTGATTCCAAGATCCCCTGTGAACTCCAACATCTACAGATGCCCGTCACATTATATTTCATGCTATATAAAATAGTGTCACTTACATAAAATGCCAAAACCAAGGCCTGCTTTATAGAATTTCTTTGAATGTTTTCAACCCTTGGATTCTTTGAATGTGGAATCTGTGAATACTGAAGGGTTTGTGTACTACATTTGCTTACCATATAGAGGAAACAATCTGTGTTTTAATCTTTGCAAAATTCATGCCATGGGAGGGACATGGATAAGTGTTGTAGGAAGGCCAGTGCATAACCCCTTATACCCAGTGATTTCCAGTGTTATTTTTATTTTTTTATTTATTTTTTAATTTATTTATTCTACTTCTATCCTGCCCATATCAGCCCGAAGGCGACTCAGGGCAGCATACAAAGTCGGCACAATTCGATGCCATATATAAAATACATACATTGATAAATTGGGAGTGAAATGGTGCAGGTTCTGTCTTCACTCTCCAAATAAAAGCAGCTGAATCTGTTGAGATTAAAAAGTGGTTTTAAAATACATTAATAAAAATGTTAAGAATGGTTGCTTAGAATATCAAGCAAACATTTTAAGCATTTTAGGAAAAGTAAAATTGGTCATTAGCTCTTTCTAAGTCGAAGACCATTCAAGGAAAGTAAAATTATAGCTATTTATGGGGTTCAGTTTTCATTTGTTCTTAACCCTTGAATAGGATTTTCTTTTTGGTCATGTCAGGAGCGACTTGAGAAACTGCAAGTTGCTTCTGGTGTTAGAGAATTGGCTGTCTGCAAGGATAAAGACTGGAAAGAGCAAGGCAGGGTAGAATTCAAGTGCAGTATTTTCTCGGTCTTACTCATCACAGAAGATATGCAGAATGATGAAAAGATGGGAAGAAAAAGGGATTTATTTACATAAAACATAATCCAAAAACCAAAGTTAGTCAAGCTAATGTTCACTTGTAAGTTTCTTTTAAAAACTGTTCATCATAAGTGTGTTGTTGGTAAGTCCCCACATCTCCTCTTCTGTAAAGGTTTGACCTTTTGCTCTTGAGCTTTTCTGAGTGTCTTTCTGAGCCAAAAGGCCAGAGGTAACTTTTTCTGAACCTTAATAGAAGCTGACTGACTTTTGGAATTGTTTTGTTTTATTAGGTGGCTGCAGTGAGAGAAACCATTAATGAATGAACCGTCATTTCAGCTATGATGGCAGACCAGCCACCTCCATTAGAAGCCACACCTATTTTGAATGAAGTGCCACTTCTACCTCATATGGTCAATGGGGACACTACGCAACAGGCAAGTGGACCTACGTCATAGATAAATCAGCCAAGGTTTTCGATATTAACAGTAGTTTATCTGATTTCGTCAGTCAGTCTTCCAGAATGGTGACTATCAGTAATACTAGAAGATTGTTAACTGTGATTGGCAGAAACATATGGTTTAGCATGATTTCTACATTTTTTCTAAGAGAAATACCTGGTCTTCACAAACGCAGTAAGAAAAGTATTATAGGCCACACTCAGTGTATCCACATATTTAGAGTGGTATTTTGACATGTAGTCTAAACATATTAATGCCTTTGTTCAAGGAGCTGAAAATAATCTCTCAGGCTTTTGCTACCAAGCACAGAACGGTACCTCACGACCAGGTTCTAATTTAGATTCCTTGCATAAATTCAACTCCTGAAGGTTTCTACTCTGTGATATTCTAAAAGTAGATTTTGCTGACGGATCATTTTGATCTTGCTTGCTCTTTGTTTTCGAGGCAGTCGGCACACTAATATTTTATGGTGGCTGGATAGAAATGAAAAGCTGCTGCTAGATATCTCAGTTAAAATTTGCATTCCCTCTGGTTTGATTATGTTGTGTTACACAATAGAGCGGCGATGTATTTGAACTTTTATTTTTGATTTAATCAGGATCAGTAATGCCATTCACAATTGTAGATAATACATGGAAGATATTTAGATATTTAGTGGAGATTATTTTTGTAGCTTGGCACTAAGGCTGGAATCTGGGAAAACTAATTTAAGTAGGCTCCAGTACTGAGTGGAGTAATGCAGCCTATCCTCAACTCGGCACCTTCCAGAACAGTTGGGCGACATCTCCCATCATCCCCAGTTACATGACCATTGGTCACTGGCCATGTGACTTGAGGATCAAGGGGGCATTTGCCCAAGACATTAGGTTGTAATCATTTCAATTACAAAGTGTCAAGTTAGAGAGTGCCGTTTTCTTCAAATTTTATTTGAAGTGATGGATTTCCTAGCCATACCACAAATTGCATTTGAAATTTTGCTGAGTTGTTGAAAAGGGCATTTTTGTTGGTTGGAATGGACAGCTGGAATTAGAGAGATACTGATTCAAAGTTTTGGTTGTACTTGTGATGTAATATAGTTTGTTTTTTTTTTTACTCCAGGATCTTGTCTGGTTCCTTCATAGCTTGTCCCTTCAAGTCCTGCTCTTTCTGATCTCTTAATTTCATTCTCCATTCTGACAAATGATTGAGCATGTTGAACTATTTATATATCTACACCATCTGTTACAAATTTATGTAAATAATATTTGGTCATTATTTTTATCTTAATACTAGCCATCCCCTGCCACGCGTTGCTGTGGCCCACATGGGGGTTCTGTGTGAGAGGTTTGGCCCAATTCTATCGTTGGTGGGGTTCAGAATGCTCTGTGATTGTAGGTGAACTATAAATCCCAGCAACTACAACTCCCAAATTTCAAGATTCTATGTTCCCCAAACTCCACCAGTGTTCACATTTGGGCATATAGAGTATTCGTGTAGAGTTTGGTCCAGATCCATCATTGTTTGAGTCCACAGTGATCTCTGGATGTAGGTGAACTACAACTCCAAAACCAAAGGACACTCACAACCAAACCCTTCCAGTATTTTCTGTTGGTGATGGGAGTTCTGTGTGCCAAGTGTGATTCAATTCCATCATTGGTGGAGTTCAGAATGCTCTTTGATTGTAGGTGAACTATAAATCCCAGCAACTACAACTCCCAAATGACAAAATTTTTTTTGAGTGAAGGACATACATTGGGTTGTTAGGTGTCTTGTGTCCAAATTTGGTGTCAATTCGCCCAGTGGTTTTTGAGTTCTGTTAATCCCACAAACGAACATTACATTTTTATTTATATAGATTCAACTGTAAACTTGTCTTTGGATTTCCCCCCCTTTACTTTCTTCAGTTACAATTCCAATAATCATGACTATTTTCTGCTAGTACCATGGTCTCTATTACTTGTGCTTTAATACAAAAGAGTATGCAGTATTGATTACTCGTTAAGAAATGCTGGAGTAGATACTACATAGTGGTTGTACCAAGATGACCCATTATTTTAGTTTTTTGAAGTCACTTGCTCTCAGGTATAAACACCAAAGGGATTTCTGGTATATTTCTCTAAGCTATAAAATAGATACTCTGTTTTTCTACGAAAATGCATTGTTTGTACATTTTTAAATCACCTGTAGAATGTAGTTTGCTTAACATTTCTGGTAAATGACGAAATCTTGGCCTTTAAGCAGATTATTTTGCATCAGTGGCCTCTGACCAGTGAGATGTTTCTAAAATGTTGAGGAAACTGGTTGATCACAAAACTTTTGTGAAATGGAGAACCTTTCTAAATGAATGAAGTTGAATAACTTCCTAATGAAATTCTCTTTCAAAAGAAACAGCTGGTGGTCACAAAACAAATACCAGTGAAGTTTGCCCAGATTTTTTTCCCCTGGGAAATTTAGTTAGTGAGTTTTCTGGTAAAGGTTATTTTGAAATCCAACTTTGTGGACATGTAAATGATTTAGCAGAAATTATTTGCTAACCTCTAGGAAGGGATATGACATGTATATGTTTGCCTTTCTATGTTAAGCTGCTGCCAAGTAAAGCATTCATTTGGCTGAGCTTCCTCTTAATGTCATTTTATATATGATAAATGCCACACAATCTAATAAAACATCTTTAACATTCTAAACTATATGTCATACAATGTAAAACAGTAAACATTTCAAAACAGTTTAACAGCAGCGTACAAACAGAATAAGAAAAAATGATCCTGGTTTAGAATTGTCAACCTAAAATGTGTACTGGTATTTAAAAGAAATGTGCAACATCATAAGTGGACTGCCTCTTTGTGATGTTGGTTTGGTTGTGGGGCCATTTTTTATCATACAGTTGTTTTGGAGGACCCAGAGAGATCATTTCATTCAAAACTATGAATAATCAAATCCACCACAGCTTTTTTTTTCCAGGTTAGGAGCAAGTTGAGAAACTGCAAGTTGCTTCTGGCGTGAAAGAATTGGCTGTCTGCAAGGACATTGCCCAGGGGACGCGCGAATGTTTTACCATCCTGTCGGAGGCTTTTCTCATTTCCCTGCATGGGAAGCTGTAGCTGACAGATGGGAGCTCACCCTGCTCCCCGAATTTGAACTGCCAACCTTTCGGTCAGCAGTCCTGCTGGCACAAAGGTTTAACCCATTGTGTCACTAAGGGCTCCAACCTATGAAGGGCTAACTGTATTACAGATATTACAGAAGTGGGAAATAAGAGTAGTGTGAAGCAGAAGCAGAGACCAAATTAGGCCCTTGCTTTCTTTGGAGCTAAATGCAAGTTCTGCCGATCTTTGGTTGAATGTAGTGTTGTAACTTCGTAAGCTCTGGAGGACAGCTGGGAAATGTTTGGCTGGTTCACTTCTTCAGAAATGGGCAAGAATCTGGGCAAACGAGGCAGAAATACTTATGTTTGGTTAGTTCTTGTAGAAATGAGCTTTTTCAGTAAGAAGCAAATGGTTCGCTTTTGGCTTTCTGGTCATCTCTGACTTTTCTGTCCATATTATCTGATCAGCCCATGCGTCATCCTGCCCTCTTTGGTGAACAAGTTGCTGGTCATGGTTCCTTTGATGGAATGCTTTTAAAGATCCTTTTGTTTAAAGCAGCTTTGTGAGGTCTTAGAGGGATTAAGCTCAAAATGGGAAGACAAGCTGGCAAAAATTATTAATTGCATATTCTATAATAAGCCACTTATTTTGACTTTTTGCTCTGTAGACTAGTACAAAGCATTCTTTATAAATTGACTGAAAGCAAAAACATAAAGACCAAAGCGCACTGTATGCTGAAAATACCATTGGCACATAATGGCAGCAAAATATTTGGGTTTGAGAGCCAGGACTTGAATGAGAAGCATTAGCTAGTATTTGAGAGGCTGAAGGCTATGAACGCTTGTGTGAAGGAAGACAGCTGAAGCTGGGTTTTTGAAAGGGTAAGAGCTGAGGACATCGGCCTGTCTTGGAATTAGGCAATAAATAACCTTTTGGCAGTAAATAATTGTCTGTTTCCAGCATTTGCTCTTGTATAGCACAATGCTATTAGGAAATAGCAAGATTGGGGTATTGTAGTGATTCAAAGTGTCATTCTTGCCTTGAGGCAACAGCAGTTTTGAGAAACTGAATGCAAACTGCTTGTCTGAGGGCATAGTGTGAGTATATCTGCAAAGAAAATGCATTGTTTACAAACCATTGAATGCAAAAAAAAAGTCACTATCCATTTTCTGCTCTGAATACTTCCCCTCACATCTTGTTTATTTGGGATGAAGTTTCATGGAAACTGATGGAACCTGCTTCCATATAATAAATGTGTTAGGATTAGCTATGCTCATTATACATCCTATTATTGTGTGTTTGTGTGTGTGTGGTATCTATTACAGTCTGTGTTTTTTTTTCATTTTAGCTTGTTTATATTTTCCATAAAATAAACCCAGACACAATGCCACATTTTATTTGCAAACACAAGCCAATGCTGTGTATCAAATAATAATAATAATAATAATAATAATAATAATAATAATAATAATAATCTTTCTTTATACCCCACCACTATTTCCCGAAAGGGAACTTGGGGCAGCTAACATGGAGACCAAATCCAAAAGTACAATACAGCAAAAATAAAATATAAACTCAAATAACAAAATTTGCATCAAAATAAAATACACACAGTACAAAATAACATAAATAAAGCAAATTAACACAATATAAAATCAGAATGGGCAGAACAGCGGGCAAGGTAAAATGATAAAACTCTGGATGAGGTAGGAATAAAATTATGTGATTGAGGGGAACTCAAAAAAGATAAACAATGAGGTAGGATTTCAGTTTAGGAAGGGGAAGTGCATCATACAGGGTAAGGCAGCATAGCTTCCTTTTTTCAAAACTTAATAAAGCCCATTGTATGAATCAGAAATTTTTATTTTTTATTTTATAATGTAGGTGCATACCTAAAGTTTTGTTTTACATAGTTTTGAAGATCAAATTAGGTAGGTGACGTCCCCCATTCTCCATACACTGAGTAAACCAATTTCTGGCATTTGTCATTACTCTTGCCAGCATAGCAGGCGTTATGTTGGCAATTTCTTCCTGGGTGTTGGTCTTCAAATCTTGTCGGGTCCTTGGACGGTCCACATAAATATGGATTTCAAAAAACCCCATAGAAAAAAATCACAAGGGGCCAAATCTGGAGAGTGGGCCGGCACTCCAAATCCGCTCGAAAAGTAGACCTCAATGGCAAAAGCACGCTCCTCACTGTTCCAACGCATGATGGCAACTGATCTGTGTCAGGACAAAACTTTATACTCCCGCCTCTCAAATGAGACCACTAGCGCTCCGCTACGTCTTCAATCGACTGAATGGCACGCATTTTAAAAAAGGAAGTTATGCTGCCTCACCCTATAGAAAGATGTTGATGATGTCTATCAGAGGGCAACATTTCTGCAGCAATTGTTCTTAGATGAAGAACTCTTCTACCTGATCTTCAAAAGTTGCATCAGTGGCAGATTGTTAAACACTGTTGCATTTTTCCCAAGGAGCAATGCCTGATCCAAATTTCAATGCAGCATCATGTAGAGCAGTGGTTCCCAACCTTTTTTTTGACCAGGGCCCACTTTTACCAGGGACCACCATCCAACATTAGTTCCAAAAGGATTATGAATCTGTTTTTGATCAACTTTAGATTCGGCTTGGGGTGCTGATTCAGAAAACTGCATTTTCTGCATGTGTAGACTACATCAGCTCTTGTTTCTGACACAGAACATATGCCATCCAGTAGTTGCCATCTGCTCGCCCACAGGAAATCATATTTAATAATCTAGACTTGACAGGGGCCATCCAATGCAATTTTCTGAATCATAACTCCAAATAACCCCAGAAACAGGCGTAAAAACGAAGACACCAAGGCGCCCCCGCTTACAGGCGCCGCATGGAACGACTCCATTTAGGAGGAGGGAGGAGGAGGAGAAGCAACAGTCAGGAGGCTTGTTGTGCCTTTCATGGGTAGTCAACCTCTTCCCTCCTGACATCGCCATTGCCTCAGCACCGTTGCTCTTTTTACAACGGTGTAGTAAAAGGAGCCAACGGACCATATTTTAGTTCTTGGGGACCACTGGTGGTCCATGGACAACAGATTGGGAACCACTGTTGTATAGCCTGTGTACATAATAATAAATAATATGCATTGTTATCAGGGCATGAAGAACGATCCCCTAGTTGTATATCCAAATCCTTTGAAGAATAGCATGGCAGTAGAAGTGGACTAAAACAGCATTTCGAATATAAGTTCAGCAATAAAAATTAAATTTGAAACGTCTATTTTCTATGTAAACGATTTTAAATCACTTAATGAAACAAAGTAATTGAAAATGGGATGCTCATGGCTATAACACATCTGGTTATTTATGACAGAAAAGCAGTAACTCCATGTGATCAGGCAGGGAAAATGTTGAAAAGCCTTAAATTATTTTTGCTCTGCAGCAACAAATGTCAAAGGAGGTAGGTAAGTATAATCTTCTGTAATTTTATGGAGTAATTGTTAATCATCACACTAACTGAGTAGTATATAAACCCAATATGCAACATTTGACCTCAATGTTTCTGCTTTGCACAATTTATATTGGAAAATAATATATTGCCTTGAAATAAGGTTGACAGTTGGATTTTTTCCTCCTCTTTTTCTTTTAGGTTATCCTTGTGCAAGTAAACCCAGGGGAGACTTTCACAATTAGAACTGAAGATGGACACATTCAGTGTATCCAAGGTAATATTATAATCAAAATCATAATGTTTGTGTGATACATGTATTTAAAATCGGCACCCCCAAACTCTAGCTCTCCAGCTGTTTGGGCCTGTAGCTCCCAGAAGCCTTAGTCAGCTCGTTCAATGATCAGGAATTCTAGAAGTTGGGGGCCCAAACAGCTTGAGGGCTGTAGTTTGAGGATGCCTAGTTGAAAAGATCGGCCATTGTTAATGTTAGCCTTCTGCAGTTGTTCAAGGCACCCTAAAGCAGGCCATCTTCTAGAATATTTATGTTCCTGCCTGCGCTCTGAAATCCTCAGAGTTGTCTTCTTTGGGGACACGAGACAGGGCCTCTTCAGTGGCTTCTCCTGGGCTTTGGAACTTCCTCCTTGCTGCTATTCCATCAGAAGCTGAAGACTTCTTTAAACATTCAAATTGCTTCAGTATCGTTAAGAGTTTGATTCCATTTCAGTTTTGACTTTTAAATGTTTTTTCACTTATTTTAGTTGAACTCCGAAACCTGAATGGATGAAGTCTGCCCATGCCTGATGTATATCCTACCTCTCCCTTGACTCCAAATTTGGGGGGGGGGGGGGGGGGGGTAGGATATACATCAGGCATGGGCAAATTTCAGCCATTCAGGTTTTGGACTTCTACTCCCACAATCGGGGATTGTGGGAGTTGAAGTCCAAAACACCTGGAGGGCTGAAGTTTGCCTATGCCTGGTATACATCATGATGATGATTCGTAGTTATCCCCCAGTCCATATTTCTACATCTGTTGGGTCACGTTGCCTAATCATAAGAGTCCACAGCAATATATAAAGTGCAAAGGTGGACTTGGAGAGCAATGTCTGCCTTGAAACATCTGTACAGAGAAACCAAGCAATATGCTAGTGGGGAAAGCAGGTGGCTTATGGAAACCCAAAGTCATGATTGGTATGATCTAATTGAAATCTTTCTCATTCCTAGTGTGTGGAACACTTGGGCTCTGAATATGAACAATATGCATAAGAGAAATTTTATTGGGCATAGTTCTGTGCAGTCAAAAATGTCTCTGTTTGTTTCTGGCACAGTAATAAATCTTCGGGGGAGGGGAGCAGTGGGCAGTAAGATTTCCAGGTGAAGTATTTATTTATTTATTTATTTCATTTCTAACCCACCCTTTTTGATCGCGGAGGGGACTCAAGGCGGCTTACAGATCTGGGAAAAATTCAGTGCTGCACAAGTAAACAATAAAACACTTCTCATCAAAATATAAAACAATCTAAACATATAAGCAATTAAAGCACATATCAATCAATCAAACAAACAGATTAAAAACCATATAAAATGAAGAGTCATGACCTCATATCCATAATTGTTTTCCAAAATCCATAGTCCATTATTTACACCTGTGTATGAAGCCATGTCTTAAGTTTTGTTCTAATAACCAAGAGGGATGGGGCCTGCCTGATGTCACTGGGAGGGAGTTCCACAGCCGAGGGCCACCACTGAGAAGGCCCTGTCTCTCATTCCCACCAATTGCACTTGCAAAGAGGTTGGGATGGAAAGCAGGGCCTCCTCAGTTGATCTTAAAGCTCTTGTAGGCTCATAGAGGGAGATGCAATTCATAATTCATTTCGGGAAGAATGCAATAGAAGGAGGAACATGGTGTAAGGTTGGACCAGAATCATTTATGATGTCGTATTAATATGAAAATATTCTTTAGCCAAGACAGCACAATTGGGTAATTGTTAGAAAAATAAAAAAAGTGAGAAAGTTATAATATAAGGAAAGGAAATTATAAAGGAGGAAGAATGGGCTCGTAGCCATGGGGGAGCAGGGCACGGGCATGCAGCCAGTGGGGGGTAAAGGGGGCGGACGGTAACATGGGGTTTTTATAGCTCCCGGGGACGTACCCCGGTATGCTGTGCTTGTAACTAAACGTAACACAAGAGAGAAAGTGTTTTTAAATAGAAAGAGAAACTTGACGCTTATTTCCACAGAGAGGTTGTTGGAGAAAGAAGGGGAAGGCCGCTTGCCTTTCTTCTTGATCCTTCATTATTTACTCTGGTTGAAGTTTTCCTTGTAGCATACCATACATAACGAGTGTTTTTTCCGCTTTTCCTTTGGTGGGTTCCTGGAGGGTTTGGCGATAGAATCAGTAGTCCCTGTTCAACGATGAGGGGAGGGGGCGGAATGGTAACAAGTAGAGATGGCATAGGATAGATAGAGCTCAGATGTGGGGAGCATATTTTTGTCCTTCATGGTTTTCACCACGAGTCAGGTAAAAACGGGAGAGGTGAGCAGCAGGGAAGGGGGGGGCATTTTGATCCACCCCCCAACAAGTTTCCTTCCTCCCCTCCCTCCCCTTTGTCCTTCCCTAATTAAAATATAGCCAAAACATTATCTAGGATGTCTGTTACCACAAGTGCAGCATAGATGCCCTTCTTGAGAAGGCTGAAAAAGAGCCTTCTGGGTCAAACTCAACTTATGAGTGTCTGCTACTTGATCTAGTGTTCTTTGTCTAGCTGGGCAGTGGCCAGGAAGTTTCTGGAAAGATGTCTGCTGCTGTTTGTTGTTTTTTTGTGACTGTGCTTCATTGCAAAGAGAAATGCAGTCACCAGTGGTGCTTCTAAAAAAAAAAAAAAAAAATGCGTAATCATGTATGTTGTTGTTTTCTTCTTCTTTCTTCTTTTCCTCTCCCCCCCCCCCCTTTCTTTCCCCCCTCCCTCTGTCGCTTCTTATTATCTGTCATAGTGGTGGGAAGAAGCAGACATGACTCTACCAGTGAAGTGAGGCGTCATGCATGTTATCAGGAGTATTGGGCATAAGATTGAGGAAATATTTGACTTTGGCCAGCATAGGAATATAAACTGCTCTCCTTTTGGAGGAATTTGCTCCTTGGAATATTCTAGGGTGCTTTAAAATATGTCATATTGAAGTGCCCACTTGTCTTTTTGAAGACACTTGATTTAGAGGCCAATTTGTCTTGGGCCGTCTTCAAACGTTGTGTCAGGCTCTGGCTTTGCATTATCAAATTGAGTCACTGCCCAGTAGTCATCCTGAAAGATGTTTACTGATTACTATTTCCTAGTTCTTGTTTACAGCAAATCCCAGAGTATACTGTTCCCTTTAAATGGTCTTAAATCTGAATTTGTGGTTGCTTGGAAACGAGCAAACTTGCACTTTTGACTACATCAGCCAAACTTTTTCACAATCACAGCTGTCTGGATTGACATTTTCCAGTGACAATGTCAGTGTGTTTTAAATCAGGGGCAGGCAAAATGCACCCCCAACTGGTTTTGTGGTCATTAGCTTCTCCAAACTGTGTTGATTTTTCATTCTATCTTCCCTCAAAAACCAAAAAATGGTCTCTTTTGGAAATCTTCAAGAGCAAAGTTCCCTTTTAAATAGGTCACACCATAAACCAATACCAAAGCACCTGTTTTACTAAACTAGAATTAGGCTTCTGTTTTGTATTGTTTTCAAGAAGTGTGCCTTCAGAAGATGTTAGGGAAGAACATTGGCACCTCAGACCTGCTGCAAGTTTGCTCCACAACAATTTATTCTATTATTCTATAAAGCCTTTGTTTATTGTCGTGGTGCCTTCAAATCCACTAGCCATTCTTGATGCACTTTTTTATATAACTAGCTGTCCCCTGCCATGCGTTGCTGTGGCCCATTCTGTGTATATGTGCATTTTGTGTGTATGTGTGTGTATATATTTGCGTATATATGTGTGTTTGCGTAGATATATGTGGTTTTGCACATGTGTTGTAATGTCTTCTTTATTTTTTGGCTTTTAAAGTCTCTTCCGCTGTGTTTTTCAGTGTTTTATGAGTGATGATCACTAGTTGGCCTGATAGGTGTATTGTGTCCAAATTTGGTGTCAATTCATCCTGTGGTTTTTGAGTTGTGTTAATCCCACAAACAAACATTACATTTTTATTTGTATATAGATGTGGTTTTGGATACTCCTGTACAATATTTTTAAGCTCCTGGAAAGATTGGAACATTGCCTAAAACCTTGTACATAAAAATAACGTATGTATTCATACACATGGTTGGCATTATGTTATCAGATTGTCAAATGAACTGTGACTGCACACTCCTCATCTAATGTGCACATGTGAATGCTCTGTTGCTTGGTTTCCTTTCAGGTCCAGCACATGTTCCGATGATGTCACCAAATGGTTCTGTGCCTCCAATATTTGTGCCTCCTGGCTATGTATCTCAGGTAAATACTTATGATCTTTTGAATCCTTTGCAAGACAGAAATATTTCTCTTGAACAGAAAATGACCTACTTTACACTGCTTTACAATAGCTTGAAATAGCAAATGAGACAAAACAATATTTAATGTCTTTCATTGGTCATGTTGAGTCTTGCTTTGACTATAGATTTAGCACAGGCATAAAATTTCCCTGTGGTTAAGAAATAAAGAGCACCCAGCTGCAGAATTGTTTATATTGATTTTCTGTCCCTCTTTCTCTCCCCCCCCCCCCCCCCCCCCCCCCCCATCTTGTTTTCTATAATACTAAACTTGGTGTTGCATCCACAGTGGTTAATGCTAGGAAAGTTAACTTTAAACTAGAATTTTACACTAAATCTCAGTTTGGGTGCACAATGAGTCCTGTATACTATGATAACACATGAGTGAGACAGTAGCAGCGCCTAATCCTCCTTTGTGCTGTCCGTCTTGTAGTTGTGCTTGAGATGAGGAAGTGTTTATGTCCTGCTAAATGTCCCTATTACCATATATATTCAAGTATAAGCTGAGTTTTTAAGCCCCTTTTCAAGGCTGAAAAAGCCTCCCTTGGCTTATACTTGAATCAAAGTTATTTATTATTCTATTCTATTATTATTATTATCATCCTTGTGGGAGGCTTCTCTCATGTCCCCGCATGAGGAGCTGGAGCTGATAGAGGGAGCTCATCTGCCTCTCCCCGGATTCGAACCTGCGACCTGTTGGTCTTCAGTCCTGCTGGCACAGGGTTTTAACCCACTGTGCCACCAGGGGCTCCACACAAGGATGGTAAAACATCAACACATCCAGGCATCCCCTGTGCAATGTCCTTGCAGATGGCCAATTCTCTCACACCAGAAGCAACTTGCAGTTTCTCAAGTCGCTCCTGACACGACAAAAAAAAATTACTATTATTATTATTATTATTATTATTATTATTATTATTATTTTACTCTATTATTTTTACAATTATTATTTTACTCTCTTTATTATTCTTATCTTAAATTACAGTTTTATGTAAATATTCAAGAGCATTTAACATAGGAATGTCTCAATTAATGTAATTTTATTGGTATCTATTTTTATTTTGAAATTTACCAGTAGCATTTCCCACCCTCAGCTTATACTCGAGTCAATACATTTTCCCAGTTTTTTTGTGGTAAAATTAGGTGCCTCAGGTTATATTTGGATTGGCATATACTCGAGTATATACGGTAGTCCAAGATAAGTATCTCCTTTCTACCCACATCAAAGTATGCTTTTTGAGGCTGAACTAGAAAGCTGAACTAGAAAGCAACCCCATTTCCCCTCCACTCAGTGCTAGTATTTTTCCTCCCCACCCTTTGAGGTATTGGAGATACCTTTAGCTCAGTTTTCGTCTTCATTTCCAGGTGAGGCCAAGGAAAAGAGGAGACAGAAATTTCTTTGAATGAGTGCTGAATTTTATTGGATACCTCAAAGGGTGGGAAGGAAAAATACTGGCACTGAGTGGAGGGGAAATGGGGTTTCTTTCTAGTTCAGCCCCAAGTTATTCTTCAAAACGCATCCTTTGATGTGAGTAGAAAGGAGAGCTACTTATCTTGGACTACTGTATATACTCGAGTATAAGCTGACCCAAATATAAGCTGAGGCTGCTAGTTTCAATTGTCTGTTCTTACTATTTGTTTATTTCCTGTAATGGCCAAGGTTACAGCACTTGTCACTAAATCCCAAGTCCCTTGAGTGGCTAGTGTCCTGTTGTGTTCAGGATAATGCACTACTTTTATTGTTAGTTATAACTGAGATAGTGCATTGCATTTCAGTTGTGTAAATCTACATTCATGCACTTAAGTAGCAGTTGGACGACACCATCTTCTGCTGACTATACAAAAGCTGTGTTACTTGTGAATGTGATGTTTCACTATCCCAGTGGCACTTCATGATTATGCACAATCCATGACTGCACAACTGAGAATTTGTGGAACTCTGTTCACACAACTGTGAAACGGAGACATTATGCTCTGGCTAAAAAGACACAACCCTGCATGTGAAATACAAGCAGGATGCCTGCTGATGCTTCACTTAATGCAACCCGTACCTACTTGTTTGTTTATTTTTTCAGAGAAGACTCATGTTCAGATAGGAATAAGTTGTGCTATTAGTTACTCAGAGGTTCTTTTGCCTTGGGTACAGCTTGTTGTCTGTGGTGGAGAGACTAATTGCTTCAAGATTCCACTCCAAACCTTAGGCTTACTCTTGGAGAGCATCTGCAGATGGCTCCTAAACACTGGAGTTATGACGTCCATTCCAATTGGCTCCAATGACTCAGAAGCACTTGGTCTGAGCATTGAAGCCTTCCAGGAGGAGGCCTCTCACTCGACTCATGGAGCTGAGTCAGGCAGCACCTGGAGCATTGCTTGTCATCCCGTTTTGCATCTGAAAAGGGATCTTTGAGAAAAGCCTGGAATTCCAAACTTTTATCCTTGGTTTTTCTGTGGTGCATTAGTAATGCAGTTGAAGAGAAAAAACCACAGTCTTTAAACATCATTGCAATAAACATTGAATGCAGATGGTTTTGAGTCCAGTATTGGGAGAAAGGTGTAAAAATAAAGAGTGTTGGTTAAGGCAAGATCCTTTTTTCTTTGTTAGATCTGCTAACTAGAAGAGAAATTAGTAATCGTATTTCCAGCTGAGATGGCAAATATAATTAAATGTATAGTTATAGTTCGATGTATGTTTCCACTATACCAGCATTTCTCAACCTGGGGGTCGGGACCCTTGGGGGGCAAGGAGGGGGTGTCAAATAGGTCGCCAAAGACCATCAGGAGACACAGTATTTTCTTTTGGTCATGGGGGTTCTGTGTGGGAGGTTTGGCCCAATTCTATTGTTGATAGGGTTCAGAATGCTGTTTGATTGTAGGTGAACTATAAATCCCAGCAACAACTCCCAAATGTCAAGTCTGTTTTCCCTAAAATCCACCAGAGTTCACATTTGGGCATATTGATTATTTGTGCCAAGTTTGGTCCAGATCCATCATTGCTTGAGTCCACAGTGCTCTATGTATGTAGGTGAACTGCAACTCCAAAACTCAAGGTCAGTGCCCACCAAACCCTTTCAAGATTTTCTGTTGGTCATGGGAGTTCTGTGTGCCAAGTTTGGCCCAATTCTATGGTTGGTGCAGTTCAGAATGCTCTTTGATTGTAGGTGAATTATAAATCCCAGCAACTACAACTCCCAAATTTCAAAATCAATCCCTCTAATGCCACCAGTATTCACATTTGGGCATATTGGGCATTTCTGCCAAATTTGGTCCAGTGAATAAAAATACATTTTGCATATCAGATATTTACATTACAATTCATGACAGTAGCAAAATTGTAGTTATGAAGTAGCAACAAAAATAATGTTATGTTTGGGTCACCATAACATGAGGAACTGTATTTAGGGGCTGGGACATTCAGAAGGTTGAGAAACAGTGCACTATACATTCCATAAATTTATATACTTATATATGCTAAGTCAGGGAGGACAAGAAGAGAAGAGCCAAAGACCAAGAAATTGGAGTCTTGAGAATTTGGCTTTGTATAATTCAAATATACCAGCAAATTGTTCTTTATATTTCAGGTGGTGGAAGAAAATGGAGTTCGGAAGGTGATCGTTATGCCGCATTCGACCGAATTCCATCCCTCCATGCACCCGCCTCCTCCACACGTGCCCCATTATATGCACCCTCACCCTGCTTTGCTTCCCCACCCACCTCATCCCGTCTATCCTCCGGTTCCGGGGACAGGAGACATACCGCCACAGTTCATTCATCAGCACCCACCACCGCCCTCGCCACATCTGTACCAAGAACAAGGTAAGGAATTTGCTGATGATAGAAAATGCAAGGTTGTGCTCAGCCTAGAAGGAGGACTGAGGCTAGCTGATGAATTGGCTGCTCACCAAGGTACGATGGCTTCCCATAGTATCGTACATGTATGTACATTTACAGCTTGGCTCCCTGGTGGTGCAGCAGGTTAAACCGCTGAGGTGCTGAACTTGCTGACTGAATGGTTGGCGGTTCATATCTGGGGAGTGGGGTGAGCTCCCGCTGTTAACCCCAGCTACTGCCAACCTAGCAGTTCAAAAACATGTGAATGTGAGTAGATCAATAGGTACCACTTCTGCAGGAAAGTAACAGTACTCCATGCATTCATGCTGTCCACATGACTTGGAGACGTCTATGGACAACACCAGCTTTTCGGCTTAGGAATGGAGAGGAGCACCATCCCCTAGAGTCAAACACAACTAAATTTAATGTCAGGGGAAACCTTTACTTTACAGCTTGGCCCTATTTGTGGATCTTAGTCACATTTTGGAAGGGGGGACACGACAGGACACTAACTTCTCCCATTAAGCAGTCATCTATAAACAGAGTTTTTTAAATGAAGTAAACACAGGTTATTATTGATGTCATTGCTCGCCCAGGTGTTAAAAAAAAAGCAGTCTTTGCTGCTGCTGGCATTTCTTTATGAATTGGAAGGAAATACGGGTGGGAAGGTAACGGTGCTCCATGCAGTCATGCTGGCCACATCACCTAGGAGGTGTCTGTGGACAACGCTGGCTCTCCGGTTTAGAAATGGAGATGAGCATCAATCCCCAGAGTTGGGCACAACTAGACTTAATGTCAAGGGAAAACATTTACCTTTACTTATTCTTGTTGCTTATTTACATTGATTTTGTATTTTATGTTATTTTATTTTCTGATTTTCTGTTGTGTTTTTGTGTTATGTTGTGATTACTGTATTGATGGTCTTGGCCTCATGTAAGCCGCCCTGAGTCCCCTTGGGGAGATGGTGGCAGGGTATAAATATATTATCATCATCATCATCATCATCATCATCATTATTATTATTATTATTATTATTATTGGAAATTCTCCAAGTCCTCTCTCTCGCTTTCATTTTCCCCTTCCTTTCCCCTTCTGTTGAAGATACAAAATAATTTCCAAAAACTGGTGGTTTGCCAGAAGAACTCCATTCAGTTTCTGTGTTACATTTCTAATCAATCCAAACCTTGATAAGTTTTAATTTTGGTGTGTGTGTGTGTGTTTGTTAAGATTATAAATACAATTTTAATTTCATGTAATTTGATCCCTCTCTTTCTTTTCATTGATGGTTCTTTAGAGTCTCGTTCCCATGGCAGAACGAATTTTGTGCAGCGGGATGAAAGGACTCTCAAAATGCAGGAGCATTTGAAGAAAAGGCTAAAAGACCGACAAGCGAGTGGACATACAAATAATAAAATGAACAGCCCTCCTTCTTCACCTCATAAAGTTAACAATTCCTCCAGCACCAATGTCCAGAATGGATTAGGAAAGGGACAACAAGGAGCAGGAGGGCAAATCAAGCAGAAGCAAGTAGGAAAAGCCAGGGGGAGCCCCGTCCCATCAGGCGATTCAGAAATGGGAGGTACGTGGAAACCATTTTGGAAATTGGCAAAATACAATCCTTCACTTCAGTGCTGTCTTCCTTGCAAACTCTGTTGACTTTTTGATACATTTGGGAAAGCAGGCATTTTAGAAGGCGAGGCTTTACAGCTAGATGGAACAACTTCTGGGCAAAAGCAAAGGAGCAAATTCAGCACTTAAGCCCAGTTGCCAAAATTATATATGTGCTTTGGTTTGGCCAGTCATAGAGTGAAGAAATATATTACGAAACTATATTATATGTCAGTGTAGATGGGACCTAAGTTTTGGGTAACTAGAAAAGCTAACGTGGAATTATCTGAAAATATGATACATGGGTTTGTGATGTCAAAGGCTTTCATGGCCAGAATCATTGGGTTGCTGTGAGTTTTCAGGGCTGTATAACCATGTTCCAGAAGCATTCTCTCCTGACGTTTCACCCACATCTACGGCGGGCATCCTTAGTGGTTGTGAGGTTTGTTGGAAACCAGGCAAATGGGGTTTATATATGTGTGGTATGTCCAGGGTGGGAGAAAGAACTCTTGTCTATTTGAGGCAAGTGTGAATGTTGCAATTGACCATCTTGATTAGCATCGAATAGCCTTGTAGCTTCAAAGCCTGGCTGCTTTCTGCCTGGGGGAATTCTTTGTTGAGAGGTGATTAGCTGGCCCTGATTGTTTCATGTCTGGAATTGCCCTGTTTTTTAGTAGTGTTCTTTATTCACTGTCTTGGAGGGGTTTTTTTTTAATACTGGTAGCCAGAATTTGTTCATTTTTAGATGGGTTTACCTCTGATTAAATGTCATTGTTGTTCAGCCTTAATGATCAAAAGCTTAAACTGTCTTACAGCCAGGTGAACAGCCGCTCTTTGTGGAAAACTTTTGCTTATTCTTTGCGAGGTAGCTAATATGAAAAAATAAATATTTCTCAAAGACTTTCTCTGGGTGGAAGCAAAGCAAAACAGTTTTCGCTATGTCTCCAAAATAATCAAGTAGGGAGACTAGCTTACTGTTGGCATTTCAATGCATTAGCATTATCAAATTGCATCAGCAAAAGAGAAAGCAAAGAGACACACAAATGCTTGATGGCACCATGCAAAGCAAAAGGAAGTCTGGGCAGTTAGGTTCCTTCTGCTCAGTTTGCATACTTAGCAAATTCGGTGGTCAAAACAAACCAAAGCAATGAACTTTGCACAGGATGTACTCTTGTTTTTCTAATGCAATCTTCATAGTTCAGGTCACAGTTAGATAAGAAATGTTTTGATGGGGATTTTTGTTCATGTTGTCCTTCTATTCAACATAGGTTGTTTTTATTTTCAGAATCTGACACAGAATCTAGAAAATCTGAAGAGCTTTTAAGCTTCAGTAAGCCTACAGTAAGTAGTATCATGCTTTAAATATGATGCATGATTTCCATACTTTCTAAGAATGCTCTTGCCCCCATTCTAAGAATGTTCTTACCCCCATTAGTGTTTACAGTGCCCAGATAAAATATAAAGGGTTTCCTATATTTTCAGCAGAATTGTCTGAGGGCAAGGAGAGACTTTGTAGCTGTAATGCCTCTGCAGAATAATAATAATAATAATAATAATAATAATAATAATAATAATAATAATACTTTATTTATACCCCGCCACCATCTCCCCAAGGGGACTCGGAGCGGCTTACATGAGGCCAAGCCCAACAACACATCAATAAAACAAAAATCAATAAGCAAAAACAATACAATTAATATAACTCACATATAAACAGTAACACACAAGGATTTAAAAACCTATGTCCCTATGTAACTTGATAATACAGATCTTATCAAGGTAGTGTGAGAATTGTGTTTTCAGATCCTGTATCTTGCAGAGAGTAAACCAGTTGTACGTATTATTGAACCATGTCTGCCCCCAAACATAAGATAACAATTCACGATTTGCAATGCTTGAAATACTTGATTATGACCATTGTAAGGTTTGACACAAAGCTTAAATTCTTGTGAGCTTTGAATCCATGTTTAAGGTGGGAGGGAAGGGGAGTCATGGTTATGTAACCAGGACAGCCGTCTATCACAAAAAGGTGGTCCAGAATTTCTCTTGGATTCTATCTTTTTAGTCAGTGGGATTCAAATAGAAACAAGGCTTTTAAGCTTGGATGCAACCAATAACTGGATATAAATAAAGTGTGCTTTTTCTCGGAGCAGACTGACATTAAGCCAGGTATCAATAGCAAAACAAAATAGGACATTTTGGGCTTGCTTGTGTTAACCTGATATTTTTAAATTACAAGATGCCCGTGATTACCTATAAAGGTTGTTAAATAAAAAGCTGCCAAAGAAAGAAGGCATATTATGCGCACACAATTCAGCATGCCATACAACAAAGTTATTCCAAGTGAAAGGATCAGGGTAAGAAAGACAAACAGTGGAGACCACAGTAGTGAAGGTGGTGATTCTATTTATTCATATCCCATCTTTTCCTCAATTTTGGGTTAAAAATGTCTTACAAAAAATTAAAACATAAAGTGCTAAAAAGGATTGTACAAAAGCGTTGTAAGTTTATCAGACTGCATGGCCATGTTCCAGAAGCATTCTCTCCTGACGTTTCACCTGCATCTATGGCAGGCATCCTCAGAGGTTGTGAAGTCTGTTAGAAACCAGACAAGTGTGGTTTATATATCTGTGGAATAATTTCCAGGGTAGGAGAAAGAACTATTGTCTGTTGGAGGTAGGTGTGAATCTTTCAATTGGCCACCTTGATTAGCATTCAATGGCTTAGCAGTTTTAAGGTTTGGCTTCTTACTGCCTGGGGAAATCCTTTATTGAGAGGTGATTAGCTGTCCCTAATTGTTTCTTGTCTTGAGTTCCCCTGTTTTTGAGTGTTGTTCTTTATTTACTTTTATGATTTTAGAGTTTTTTAATACTGGTAGCCAGATTTTGTTTATTTTCATGGTTTCTTCCTTTCTTTTGAAATTGTCCGTATGTTACACAGAGAAGTAATTGAAATCCACAAACATACATATTACAAAAGTTCATAATGTAATGAAACTCTCAATAATACTTAAAGCAGTTAGAAACTTTAGTGGAAGAACACCAAATATAAACAGCACAGCACATGACAAGCTCATTTCCTCTGAGTGGTCAGCTGTCAACCGTCTGCTGAAACAAAAAGATATTGATCTGCCTACAAAAAGATAGTAAGAAGGACAACTGTTTATTCTCTCTGGGAAGGGAGTCCAAGTGTTTGGGAGCAGCCACCGAATAAGGCTTCTTCCATACTCTCACCAGATGTACCTTTTGGGGGTTTGGGATATAGAGAAGGTCTTCCAAGAAGATCTCAAGACATAAAGGGGCTCATAGGGGAGACAATGGATGAGGTTGCCTGCTATGACCAATTTGCCAGATGTTTTTGAGGAGCAAGTGACTTGTAATTGCTCAGAACTTAATGCTTCTTAATGCTTAAAGGTTGTTGCAGAGTCTGGCGAAATGTCCAGTGCTCTGTCCGGTCGGTTTCCTGTGATCAGTTCCAGTTGTTGGGCCTTGACATGGCCAGTATGCTTGAGTAAGCCTTTCGTGCCACACATAAGCTTGACCACTACTCACGTTACCACGTGAAATCTAGTAGGCAATTAATTAGGTCGGTCCAGGTGGTGGGGAAGTGTCTTGTTTTCAGGTTAAGTCTGTGCAGTGAAATGCCCTTCACTGCCCTGAATGATGATACATTTGGGTGGAAAATGAATGTTACACTAGTTGGTCTTCCTAAATACCCCAGTATCTGTTGCTGGACCAGCCTTGTGGAGTGAGAGTAGAAGGCACTATATTGTGGTAGTGGGTAATATTATTATATTAATATTACTAGCTGTGGCCCAGTCTGGTGATCTGGAAAATAAAGTAATGAGAAAGTGTTGGTTTCTAATATATGTAATTTCTTTATGCTTGTGGTATTTTTTTGCTGTTTCTTGGTCATTGTTGCTGTGGAGATTGTCTGGTTTGCCTACTCTGGAACATATAATTGTCCTTCTTTATGGGTCCCTTACAAATCTATAATACTATATCTCTGTGTGTGTGAATCATATCTATCTATCTCTATGGCTGGGTGGCTCTTTGTCAGGAGGGCTTTGATTACATTTTCTTGCCCTGGTGAAGGGAGTTGGATTGGATGGCCTTAAGTATTTTCTGTTGGTCATAGGGGTTCTGTGTGGGAAGTTTGCCCCGATTCTGTCACTGGTGAATTTCAGAATGCTCTTTGATTGTAGGTGAACTATAAACCCCAGTAACTGCAACTCCCAAGTGTCAAAGTCTATTTCCTCCAAACTCCATCTGTGTTCATATTTGGGCATATGGAATATTTGTGCCCATTTTGGTCCAGATCCATCATTGTTTGAGTCCATGGTAGTCTCTGGATGTAGGTGAACTACAACTCCCAAACTCGAGGTCAATGCCCACCAAACCCTTCTAGTGTTATCTGTTGGTCAAGGGAGTCCTGTGTGCCAGGTTTGGTTCAATTCCATTGTTGGTGGAGTTCAGAAGTCTCTTTGATTGTAGGTGAACTATAAATGCCTGCAATTACAATTCCCAAATGACAAAAGCAATTTTTTTTAGTGATGGTCACTCCTTGGGTTAGTAGGTGTCTTGTGTCCAAATTTGGTGTCAGTTTGTCCGGTGGTTTTTGAATTATGTTAATCCCACAAACTAACATTACATTTTATTTATATAGATTATAATATCATTATAATAATATAATAAATACTATTCTAGTGAGTAATAACAGCCCCATACCCATATCTGTCATGTCCTACAGGTTTTATTATTTTCTTAAATGCTATTCAGTCTATATGAAGCTGCTGGTGAGAGGTCATTAGGGTTTGTAAGGTTGGGTGCTGATGTGAGGCCGCTCTGGTTCTCCTTTCTTGAGCCAACTGAAGCCGAGCAGGTGATGCAAAGCCTCGATGCTGAAATCAGTTGTATGAAGGGCAATAAATGGAGGCTGAATCCTGCATCATGGTTCTTGGATATGGGAATAGATGAAGTACTTAGACCTGGATGGGGTTGCGCTCCCTGTGAAGGTCCAAGTGCATAGCTTGCGAATACTCCAGGGTCGATTTTCTCTCATTGCTAGCCCATGTGGACTCCTTGACTTTAAAAGGGCTTGCTGCTAGCTCTGACTTTTCCTGGATAGGTATTATTTATCCGCAGTAGTCCAAGCATCAGTAACATCTTGATTTGATTAGTGCAGTATGCTCTATGTGGAGCTCCCTTTGAGCAGAACTCAGAGGCTACAGCTGGTGCAAAAAGTAGCAGCCACATTATTGGGTAGGCAGTGCATACCATCCATCTTAAAGGAGCTACATTGGCTATTAGTTTTCTTCAAATTTAACCTAAAGTGTAGGAATGACATTGTAAGTCATAAATAGACCTGCCCAATAATTGAGGTCTGCTGGAGGGACTCTCCTCGGTGTCCCATTAGTGAGAGTGATGCATCTCCTGGGGACATGGGAGGAGGCCCTTGCTATTGTTGCACCCCCTTTTGTAGAAGGCCTTCCCCTTGGAGACCCAGTTGGCACCWGTGTTGGTTTCTTCTGGGTGTCTACAGCAGGGGTCCTCAAACTTTTTAAACAGGTGACAGTCCRTCAAACTGTTGGAGGGCCAGATTATAATTTGAAAAAACCTGAATGAATTCCTGTGCACACTGCACATATCTTATTTGTAGTGTAAAAAACACTTAAAAACAATACAATAATTAAAATGAAGAATAATTTTAACATATATAAACTTCTTAGTCTTTCAATGGGAAGTGTGGGCCTGCTTTTGGCTGATGAGATAGGATTGCTGCTGCTGTTGTTGTTGTTGTTGTTGTTGTTGTTGTTGTTGTTGTGTMCTTTCAAGTCGTTTCAGACTTAGGGTGACCCTAAGCGAGGGCCAGGTAAATGACCTTGGAGGGCCGTATCCGGCCCCTGYGCCTTAGTTTGAGGACTCCCTACAATGTTGACTTCCTCTGGGTGTCATTTAAGTAAGGTGCCTACACGAAACAGAACAGGACTCCTTCATTTTTAACAGTTACACAAAAGCAAAATTTTTATCAGGCACACAAAGCTATACCTACTGAAACTCCATTCCTGTTGGAACTATGATGACTATACGAGAGAATCTCATGATGAACATTATCTCACGCTGAAGTGGAGATTGAAATATTTTGAATGAATAAAATGGAAACTTAAATGCTTTGGGTCCAGGTATCTCCCTCTGTATCATCTAGTTTGCCTCTATGATTTGAAAAGGATGCTTGTAATTTTCTTAAGGAACCACATTTACTCCCTTCTTTGCCTGTTTTTTGCCAAGAAGTTCAGACTTCTTTTTTGGTTTCCATTATTAAATAACTAATTATTGTTTCTAGTGGCACTGGTGGGGCAGTGGGTTAAACCACTGAGCTGCTGAACTTGCTGACCGAAAAGTTGGCGGTTTGAATCTGGGGATCAGGGTGAGCTCCCACTGTTAGCCCCAACTTCTGCCAACCTAGCAGTTCGAAAACAAGCAAATGTGAGTTGATCAATAGGTATCGTTTCTGTGGGAAGGTAATGGCGCTCCATGCCATCATGCTGGCCACATAACTTTGGAAGTGTCTATGGACAACGCCAGCTCTTCGGCTTGGAAATGGAGATGTGCACCACCCCCCAAAGTTGGCCACAACTAGACTTAATGTCAGGGGAAACCTTTACTTTTACTTATACCTATTTTAAAATTGGCTGATGTGACAATCAAAGAAAGGTTATAGAATTTCCTAAGTTAGCGTGAACACCGAACGTACTGTTCAAAGACAGTGTCAACCGTTAAAGGGACTGCTATGTAAAAGGCATGTATGTGTTTGTGGAATAAAGCTTTTTATGATTAAGTCAGGCTTCAAATCCAGTTAAGCCTTTCTAAATGTTCATTAAAGCAAAGCAAGAGGTGGAGCTTTGCAATGCAAGAAAAGGTAGCACTTGCATGTAAAAGTGTATTAGTGGGAAACGAATGCCTTGTGTATTTTGGGGAGTGACTGTTTTTCTCCTGAACCCCAGGTGTCTGAAATTCAAGCCAGATCAGCCCTTGTATCTTGGAGCCCCCCAGTTGTATCCCAAAATGAAGAAACTCAGACCCTCTCTCCTACAACTTTCACATTTGAAGTGGCAGTCTCAAACAGTGGAAAAAATGGGAAGTTTAAATCAGTTTACACGTAAGTTTTTTTTCTTAACTACACAGTCGATGAGAATTATATCCTTGAGGATTATTCTCCCCTTACATTTACACAGAAAGCTATTTTCATAGTCAGTCTGTGCAATGTTTCCGGTGTTGGGTTTCTAGGGCCAAATTTTGAAGAGTCATTTTGCCAGCAGATGCGGACTGTCCCAATATATAGATCTAGGTCAGCACCACCTCACTGACTTTGTGGACTTGTTAGGGGCAAAGTTTGTGGGAGGTAGATGGTTTCTGTTCGTGTTTGAGGAAGGTTTTATTGAAAAAAAATGTTCCATTGCTGGGTAGTAAAAGTTCCTTCTGTTTGCAGAGGTGAAGAGACAACTTTTACAATTCCCGATCTCAGACCAGCAACTGATTATCATGTCAGGTAAGCTTGGAGAACAAACGCCGCTTGAAATTGCAACTGGGTGATGCAGTAAATCATGATCTCTGCTCTTTTGCTATATAATATCAAACAACAACAACAACAACAACTTTATTTGAAGACCACACTATCTCCCCGAAGGGTGGTTTCCAACACATATGGCAAACCTTCAATGCCAACAAAAAACATATTACATCAAAACAAGACATAGCAAATAAAATAGAATAACTATCACTGTAAGCTTAATACCAAATAAAAATTAACAAAAAAAAATAAAAATAAAAATTGGCAATCCTAACAGACATAAATGCTACTTCATTCTTAATGATTGAGTCCAGGGCCTGCATACCAGTCCAGTTGTATAATTACCAGTCTCCCAGTCCAAGGGAGGACAAGAGTAGATGGGTATGATAGTCAGCCCTCAACATTCATTGGTTTTGGGTCACATGTGAAACTGGCCAACTTCTGGTGGAAGATGACCATATGGATGCATTGGAGGCTCTAGAGATGCCTAGAAATAACGTATTACTCAAATCTGCAAAAGTTAACCCATCAAGTTTTGAAAGCTTATTATATTCTTCCAGTCAACTTCAGTGGGGTCTTCAGAAAGTGTTTGAGGATTGGGACATCTGTAGGGAGACCAGGGTGCTTGTTTATAAAGTTATTGTCCTTCCAACCCTGCTATACACCTGCGAAGTGTGGACTGTCTACAAATGTCACACTCAACTCCTGGAATGATCCCATCAGGGTTACCTTTGAAAAATCCTGCAAATCTCTTGGGAAGAAGACAGGTGGACAAATGTCAGCGTGCTGGAAGAAGCAAAGACCACCAGCATAGAAGTGATGCTCTTACGCCATCAACTCTGCTGGACTGTCTACGTTGTCCGAATGCCCGATCATTGTCTCCCAGTTACTTTACTCCCAACTCAAGAACAGAAAATGGAATGTTGGTGGACAGAAAAAGAGATTTAAAGATGGGCTTAAAGCTAACCTTAAAAACTGTGGCAGAGAACTGGGAAGGCCTGTCGCTTGAGCACTCTAGCTGGAGGTCAGCTGTGACCAGCAGTGCTGCGGAATTTGAAGAAGTTCGAATGGAAGGTGAAAGGGAGAAACGTGCCAAGAGGAAGGGGCATCAGGCCAACCCTGACTGGGACCGTGTGGAAGAACATGCGGATCAAGAATAGAGCTCCACAGTCACCTACGTATCCACCGCCAAGATGCTACACTTGGAAGACCATCATACTCAGACAACGAGGGATCGCCTAAGTAAGTAAGTAAGCAAGCAAGCAAGCAAGCAGGGATTTGGTTGTCCCTTACACTCGGAGGACAACTGAAGGGAAGAAACTAAATCCATGCACTTTGTATCTTACTGAAGTCATTGCATTATCATATGTCATCTCCTACATTACAAGCCTGATGGAGACCACAAAAATACATGGGAGCAACATTGAAGATACCTATAAAATAGTCAGTCCACAGTCACATTCATTTTCTTGACTGGACACTGGAATGTAGTGGCAGAATAGGTGGTGGGTAAAGACTGAACTGAAACGTGGAGATATAGGCTAGTTTTAGTCCTGTACATAAACTCTGTGACTCCATACAACGATGACTAACACTGTTCTACATTTTCATATCTCAATTTCACTGTATATTTGGAATAGTTCTTCAACTTTTTTTTATCATGCAGAGTTTCAGCCTCAAGCAGTTCCACAAAGGAAACGGTTTCCGAACTGGCAAGTTTTACTACAGAAAGTTGTGAACCAGACCCTCCAGGTGCACCTAAAGTCGTCAACAAAACCAAAAACAGCCTGAATCTACAGTGGAAGGTAACTGCAATGCAAAATGTTTCTGTTAACCTGGTTTTAGATTTGTGAAAAGCTGCATCTTAAATATAATCATTTGTGCCCTCTACTAGTCGGATAGTTCAGTGTCAGCAAGTTTGAAACCAAAGTGAGCTAACTGAAAAAGAAATGGGAGGTTTCAGCGTTTTTGGGGAATTCCAAAGTAGGCAGGAATATGACAGTGCTTAAATCCCAGTGGGGAACTACACAGACACATGCACCAAAAGGCCAAGGCTTCCAGGAATAACAGAAAAGGGTTTTTAATTTTCATTCAAAGGTTCTATGACCTTAACTGGGTTTTTGTGTCATTAGAAAAGGAACCCTACCTGGGAGTGGCTTGTGTCTGCATATATCTGTCGTCATGGACTCAGTATCTGTATCATCTGTTTGATTCATGTTTTTATTTCGTTCCATCCATTTGGATGGCACAGAACGGGAAGGCCCCTCCTGGAACGAAAATAAACTCAATACGAAAGGTAGGCAGGAGCGGGTACCAGCTCCAAGCCTGCTTTTCAAATCGATTGCCATGCACACAGACCCAAAGCGCCAGGGCCTGCACCTGAGTGCCAAGTAGGGAATGCTGCTTACTCGGCGCTCCAGTGCAAGCCCTGGGAGGCCTGGGCGCATAGGCCCAAAGCCCCTGGGCCTGCCCCTGGGCCTGCATCTGAGTGCCGAGTAAGCAGTGCTCCTTACTTGGTGCTCAGCTGCAGACCCTGGTGCTTTGGGCCTACACTGTGGCTGTAAACCGGGCTGAGTCCCTCGACGAGGTTGAGAAGCTCGGTATACAAAACTGTGAAATAAATAAATACACTTTGGGTTGCGGAGCAAGGCCACTGGCAGCAAACACTATGGGTCTTCAGTCCAAACCAGGGAGCCCTTTGACTCTCCAGATGAATGTGAGGCAAACCCCACCCAAAAGCGCATGCTGGTAAGGGGAGCCTGGGTGGGGAGCAAACCCCCCCCCCCCAATAATGGGATGAAAGAAAACAAATCTTTCGGCACCAAAAACAAATATCTGCCCTCCCAATTTTGGGCGGTTCAGGAGAAGCGGATCACAAAACACATCAAGGTTTACCTGTTGATCTGTAAGATTTCCTTGCATAACTCCCAAACACCTCATTCCATTAGGACAGGTGTGATCTATATATTTTTTGGACTATATTGCCGATCATCCCTTGCCATTGGCTGTGAAATGTAGTACAGATGACATTTGCTCACAGTATCAACAGAGCCACAACTGTGCGATGCATTCCAATATTGCCCGTCCTAATTTTTTAGAATTAAATCTTTCAAAAATTTTTTAAAATTTGTTTCCTACCATTCTACTCCATATTAAGTGCTATGGGACAAGGAATTTTTCCACTAGAGGCATTACTCTTCATGATGGATGTCAAGAGCGAAGCTGTTATTTCTCCTCCATTGATTAAGTTAGAAGGAGCTTAATTTAATCATAATGTTGGCTGGCAGGCAGACGGTATGAGATGGTTAGTATTTCTAATGAACGAGGTCTGGAACAGGCATGGCCAAACTTCGGCCCTCCAGGTGTTTTGGACTTCAACTCCCACAATTCCTAACAGCCATAGGCTGTTAGGAATTGTGGGAGTTGAAGTCCAAAACACTTGGAGGGCCGAAGTTTGCCCATGCCTGGTCTGGAAACATGGCAGGGCGGAAGGCCGGGGTGAGCCTTATGGTTTGAAAAATCTGAAACCAGGACCTATATATGGGTGAAATATGTATGTGTAAGTCTGACTATTGTATTGAAATGGCAAGGAAAAGGAGCTTGAATAGCAAGTGGAAAAAACAAACCTCTTCATTTCTTTTCTTGTTTTAGTCCTCCAATGATAATGGCTCCAAAGTGACTAACTACCTTTTAGAATGGGATGAGGTGAGTTCTTTTGTTTTTTTATAGATAAAATGTATTTAAATCATCAGGTTGAACTGAATATATGTGTTGTATTTATCTATTTACCACTTATTTCTTGCTGACCAAAATTTCTTAGAAGGGGAAATTTGTCCTAAGTTTCATGAATTTTCTATGTAGAGGGACTTTTTTTAAGGGAGGAGAATTCTATGATCTAAGTCTTGCACTTCCAGTTGTAAAGTCCCAGGTTGACTATGTCTATGAGAAGTATCCTCTAGCACAATGGTTTTCAGCCTGTGGGCCCCCAGATGTTTTGGCCTTCAACTCCCAGAAATCCTAACAGCTGATCAACTGGCTGGGATTTCTGGGAGTTGTAGGCCAAAACACCTGGGGATCCACAGGTTGAGAACCACTACTTTAGCAGAAGAGCGTGCTTTTGATGTCAATTGGGGTTTGGTTCCTGGACCCATAAATGCCAGAATCCATAGATACTCAAGTCTCATTATATACAATTGCATAGTGAAATGGTGTCATTTATATAAAATGCCAAATATAGGGATTTAGGTTGATTACACTATGCAACAAAATTTGTAAAATGTTCTGTTCCAAGTTTGAAAGTGTTATTTCCTGTTTAATTGTTCAATACTTAGGGCCGGAGGTTTAGCACAGCTGGTAAATCATCAGTAGTTATAAGATCTATCAACCAAAAGTTTGCAAGTTCGAAGCCCCGGGTTGGCGTGAGCTGCCAACTGTTAGCCTAGCTCATTGTTTACCTAAGCAATTCGAAAACAGTTCTAGCTGTGATTAGAGAAATTAGGTACCACTAAAAGCAGGGGAGGTGTTTTACGATGCCATAAAGAAAGGATCAGAAAATGCTGGACGACCAAAAAGGAAGGAGGAAGTCCTGACAGCTCTTTGTCATAGAAGACAGAGCAACAGCACCCCTGGACTCAAGCCCTCCTGTTCTGTCTGTCTGTGTATTGTCTATACACAGCGGAATTGAATGTTTGCCGTGTATGTGTACTGTGATCCCCCCTTAGTCTCCTTCGGGGTGAGAAGGGCAGAATATAAATAAATGTATTATTATTATTATTATTATTATTATTATTATTATTATTATTATTATTTGGAAAGTAGTTGCTGTTCTACTCCAGAAACTTCCTTTTTTGTGGCTGCCACAAACTAGGCTAAATGGGTTGAGACCCTGTGAGATAAATAATTGAAAAACTATAGCAAAATGAGCTGCAGGATGTCACTTCTGTAGAAACAAAATTTTTGCAACTTAATAAACCTTTTCCATGCTTTAATGATAGAACCAATTAGGAAATATTTATAACCCAGGAACAGCAATTGTATTACATAGAATTATTCTCAAGCTGTGGATGGTGGACTCTATTGATGTATTCAGAGGGCTTTCTGTTTATCACATATATTTACTTATTGCTAACTGAGTGCTATATTGTGAGAGGAAGACTCCTATGCTGCGACAGCTCTACTAGTTGCCAGGCTAAATACAAAGTGCTGGCCGTTACAGCCTGGTTCAGGCCCAGGCTATTTATCTAATTGCATCTCGCTGTATAGACTATTATGTGCACTGCAGTCTATAGAGGAGGCCCTCCTCTCAGTCCCACCCCCGTCACAAGCTTGGTTGGAGGGAATGAGAAAGGGGCCTTCTCTGTGATCACTCCCCATCTTTGGAACTCCTTAAAGAAATAAAAATGCCCCCCCCCCCTTCTTTAAGAAACTTCTAAAAGCATACCTATGCACTTTAGCATATGGAGAGAAGGAGGACTAGGACACTTTAAATGCTGGCTAACTCACTTGTATTATATGGCTGTTATGATACATCTTAATTGAAGCCATTTTTAATGTACTGTCTCTTAATTTGCTTTTAGGGTGTACATTGTAATGTTTACTTTTGTTTTCATTTTTATGTCTTAATGGATTGTTCCTGTTTTTATTTTATTTTGATGCTTAATTCCTTCGTTGTAGGTTTTCTGCTGTTACCATCCATTGTTCTGTATTATTTTGATGTGTTTGTACCCATTTCGAGGCATTGAATGTTAGCCTTTTAATGTGTAAACTGCCTTGAGTCCTTCTGGGGAGAGAGAGCGGTCCAGAAGTAAAGTTTAATTATTATTATTATTATTATTATTATTATTATTTCAAAAGGGGAAGAGCAGCGCATTCAAGGAATGCTACTATGGCCATCAGAAGCAACACAAAATAACCAAGCTGACCCCTTCTACAAAATATTCATTTAGGCTGGCAGCCAAAAATGACATTGGAATGAGGTAAACATGCTTGATATGGTTATTGTTTCTTCAGACTTCTGTGGCTCGGCCTAGCAGTTAAACTTTTGCCTTTTCTTGTACTTGTAGTGCATTCAGTGAGACGTTGGTGTGTTACACAGTAGGAATCGTTCCTCCGCCGCCTTCGGCCCCTCGGCTGTCCGAATCCGGGGTGACCTGGTTATCCCTTAAATGGAGCCCTCCAAGCGGGTTGTCTTCAGATGACTCGCTGACATACACTTTAGAAATGGAAGAGGAGGGTTCGGTAAGGTTTTTCTGATATTTATAACTTAGGAAACTTGAGTTGAGGATTGGAAAAAAGAGCTTGGAAGTAGCAGCTGCTCTCTGGTGTAGATTTGAGCGTTGCCTGGTGAATAATTATGTGTTGTGCTATTCAAGCACCCCAGTGGAGAGTGGGAAGGCAACTCTCCCTGATTCTTCCAGGAACAATTTCATATCAGATTATTGTTGTTGCTGAACATTCAGAAGTGGAAGTGAAACGAAGGGTAGTAAGCAGCTAGAACTGGAGTGAACAGACATACTGGAGTGAAAATACATAGGCCGAACAGGGCATAGGGTTACAGCCTGTGCTTGACGGGGCTACACTCCCCCTGAAGGTGCAGGTTCGCAGCTTGGGAGTGATCCTGGACTTATTGCTAAGCCTGGAACCCCAGGTGTCGGCGGTGGCCAGGGGAGCTTTTGCACAGTTAAAGCTTGTGCGCCAGCTGCGCCTGTACCTTGGGAAGTCTGACTTGGCCACGGTGGTCCACGCTCTGGTTACATCCCGTTTAGACTACTGCAACGCTCTCTATGTGGGTTTGCCTATGAAGACTGCCCGGAAGCTGCAACTAGTCCAACACTTGGCAGCCAGGCTACTAACAGGAGCGGAGTACAGCGAGCGCACAACTCCTTTGTTGTGCCAGCTCCACTGGCTGCCAATTAGCTTCCGAGCACAATTCAAAGTGTTGGTTTTAACCTACAAAACCCTATACGGTTCCTGCCCAGTTTACCTATCCGAACATATTCTCCCCTATGAGCCATCAAGGCTGTCAAGATCTTCTGGAGGGGGCCTGCTCTCGGTTCCACCACTCTCGCAATTGCGGCTGGTGGGGACGAGAGACAGGGCCTTTTCTGTGGTGGGCCCCCTATGGAACTCTCTCCCGATTGAGATCAGATCTGCTCCCTCACTCCTGACCTTCAGGAAGCTAGTGAAATCCTGGTGTGGAACGAGGCATTCCCAGAATGATGGCGGGGACTGGCAATTGACTAAAGTTATCGACCACATATGCGGACTGAGTGGGACATGATTTTATCTTGACAAACTGGCTTTTATGTATTTTAGTTTATATGTATTTTAATTTATTGTCGATGTACGATATTTTAGATTGTATTGTTAGCATTGAATTCTTGCTGTTAGCCAGTCTGAGGCCCTCTACGGAGGTAGAGAAGATCAGGATACAAAAGTTTTAAATAAATAAACAAACTTCTTTATAGTCAAAACAATGTATCATCTGACCCAGTAGTATCTGTTGTGAGCATGGGAGATTTCAGTGGATTGGGACCAATTTTGCATTGCGAAATCAGAAATCCCCACTTCTATTTTTAAACACACACACAGCGGAATAATGCTTTGTTTTGCTAAAGTAAGGGCTTTGTTTTAAAGAATTAATTAAAACTTGGGGAGAGGGGGCTCTGTGAGTCACATATTATCTGTCCATTAAATAGCAATTTCTGAGAAATTTGTAATATTCTAGTAGACCTGGTTTGAGGTGCAATGCAAACTTGTGTCATGCTGTTAAAAATGATTTTTTTCTTTTTTCCCCTTTTTATACAGGATTATGGTTTTCAAGCAGGGTACAATGGAGATGAACTTTCTTGCACTTTAAAAGACTTGAGAAGGAGTACTTCTTATAAATTTAGGGTATGTACCCAAGTCAAACACTACTTGTGCACTTGCTAGTAAACGCCAAGCTCTCCGCTGAAAAAGATGCATTTCATAACTAGATGCCTGCAAAGTGAACCAAATAACTGTCAACCTGCAGTATAGAGGGGGCAGTTGAAATAGAAGCACAACAGAGGCATCTATTTGTTTGTTTATTTATTTCCCACCCTTCGCACTGAAGGGGACTCAGGGCAGTTCGCAACAAAGGCACAATTTGATGCCTTGAACACATATCAACATAAAGACAACATATACATTAAAATTACAGAATTAAAACATATCAATTAAACAATTAGTTGAAATCACAGAATCTGAAAACATATGCCAGGAGCCGTTCCAATTGCCATCTGTATTGTTCATTATTGCACTGAGATATCAATTGAGATATCATTGGGTGTGTCTGTGCAAACGCTTGGTCCCACAACCAGGTTTTAACAACCAGGCATTCTCCAAAATGTCTGGGTTTTCCCCGTCTGTTACTCTGATTCTCCAGCTTGGATTAGATTTTCTTTTGTGTTGCTTGAAAACAACTTGAAAACAGGGATTTTTCGCAAGTTACCTTCTGAGCGTTTCCGTTCCTTGCAAATCCTCCATTGAAATCTCATTCTGCACGATGTTGTTACCCCATCATCTGTTCTCACAATTCAAACCCCTTTTCAAACATAGGCATTGTCTCCTTTTTTAGAGGAAGCTCCTTTTCTTGCAGTATGGGGAAGCAATCCTTACATTGGTTATTGCTCCTTATATTTATTTAATAACAGTCATTCTTCCTACCCTAAATGGGAGAGTGTCCCCCGTCCCCCCCGCCACCAGTTCATCTTGAGTTTGTGGGTTCATATAATAGTAAGGAGCCTGCGGTAGCGCAGTGGGTTAAAGCGCTGAGCTGCTGAGCTTGTTGACCATGAGGTCGCAGGTTAGAATCTGGGGAGCGGGGTGAGGTCCCGCTGTTAGCCCCAGCTTCTGCCAACCTAGCAGTTTGAAAACATGCAAATGTGAGGGGATCAATAGGTACTGCTCAGGAGGGAAGGTAAGGCTGCTCCATGCAGTCATGCCAACCACATGACCTTGGAGATGTCTACGGACAACGCTGGCTCTTCAGCTTAGAAATGGAGATGAGCACCAACCCCCAGACTCAGACACAACTGGACTTAATGTCAGGGGAAAACCTTTATCTTCTATATAAATAAAAATGTAATGTTCATGTGTGGGATTAACATAACTCAAAAACCACTGGATGAATTGACACCAAATTTGGTGTCAAGACCCAGGCGGACCAGCAAGGCAAGACGGCAATTAAGGAGTGAAACAAAGGTKRTTAATGTCAATTAACATAAGAWAAAGGGCTCTTAAAAGCAGAGCGGTAAACACAAAAGGGCTTGCAGCCAGCAAGAATGTAAACAAACCAAGTCCCAGTCAGTCCTCGCTGGGAAAAGGAAAGCAGCAATAACACAGGCAGTACGGCTTGAAGTCAGCGGCAGAAACTCAGTCCATTCCAAATCCAAACAAAACAGCAAACAGCAATCCGCATAAGGAGTGGTCCAACGAAGTCACCAAGGGATAAGCAGGAGCGTAGAGTGGTCATTCTGTACTTCGGACTGCATCCTGCAAAGTAGTATCTGAAACCCAAGTGTCAGTAAAACCCTGGAACTCATCACTAGAACTGGGAGCATTAACCACATCTAACACTTCCTGGACCTTGGTCCAATCCAGCTCTTCCTCTTCGCTGTCAAAGTCCTCACAATCAGCTACATCTTTAAGGCGTTTAGAAACAGATTCCTCCGAGCTGCGTGCTACTCGCTTTACACCGCGGTAATCCTCCTCCATTTCCTCGCGAGTAAACCTCTCAAAATCCTCCTCATCCGTAGGCTCTAGGAACAAGTCTCTAATACGCTTCAGCTGTTGCTGAGCGTCTTCCTCATCCAAACCTTGTTTCCTTCTACTACTACTAGTAGGTACATGAGACAGACGCTGAGTCACAACATTTGGACACAATAAACCTATTAGGCCAACGAGTGACCATCACTCATAAAAACATTGAAAAACACAGCAGAGGAGACTTTAAAAGCCAAGAAATGAAAAATACATTATAACACATGTGCAAAACCACATATTTAAACACAAACACACATATATACACATATACACAACTATATACACACACATATACACTCACAAAAAACATATACACAGCAACGCATGGCAGGTGAGAGCTAGTTTACAACAACAACAACAATACTTTATTTATATCCCTCCACCATCTCCCCAAAGGGACTCGGGGCAGCTCACAAAGGTACTCAATAGTGCAAAACATATAAATACAACAAAGTATGTAAGCAAAATAACACAATGACAATAAGGTCCACATAAACAAATGATATAAAACCCATCCAACTTAAAAGATTCAATAAAACGCAGCAGTAAAATTAATGAACTTGATTTTTTTTAAAATTAAGCTTATCTTTATTTTCTCTGACCTCTAACAGTAAGCCTAGCATTTCCTTCCCTTACAGAGGTATGCAATAAGTTATAGTAGTATTCATTCTATATCACATTATGATTGTTGTATATCGTGAAAAATCCCTTACAGTCATCCATACATTGAAATTACGGTAGTTGCTAGACCCGGCACTAGATCCTAATATACACAAACTATTGTGTGATGTAGCTGGCTTTCTGGCAAAACAGAATAGGTAACAACCAGAAAGCTACTTTTTGAGAAGGGGTACATGATTTTCACTTGACTGACAGATGGGTCAAGAAGGCTTAAGACCCCTGATCCGAGCCCTTTACTTCTAGTGTTAGGGGCCCCAAGAGGAGAGAGTGCTTGGCCTTACATCCCAGACTCTACGATCACTTTGGAAAAGAGGGAGCTGAAAGAGCTGAACTCCTCATTTCATCCTGCAGTTTCCTTATCTCTCTTAATATTTAAACTGGCACATAAGCTTTAAGCTGATGTTTGCTCTCTCTGTCACGTTGCAGCTGTTTGCGCATAACACTGAAGGAAAAAGCGGGCCTAGCGAGATCATCGAATACAGCACAAGTCCAGACAAACCTGGACCTCCAAGTAAACCGGCAGTAAAGGGAAAGATCCATTCGCATAATGTGAAAGTGACCTGGGGTAAGCAGACTTGTATTTGATTCCACGGTGCTTCTTTTTTGCTTTCCTTTTTTGCATTAAGCCAAAAACACAAAAGGCATTGGCTTCAGTTCAGCACTTTGCATTTGCCATTGGAGCATATAATTAACTCTGCAGAAGTAATGAGCAAGAAGCGCATTAGTCTGGACTGATGGGTTTTGCCTGGATGGCTGCCTGCCTAGCATAAGCATAGACATGTGTGGTGTATGGGACATGGCTTGCATTCCCTCCTGCCTTTCATCTTAATTGGCGCAAACTTGGTCCTGCAGATATTTTTGTTCTGAGATGTACAGCCATTTGGACATTTGATGCAGAGATGTATGCAAGGCAGTTTTATGTACTGACCTAGCAAAAGGGCTTAGCATCAGATATTTATTTATTTACGGCATTTATATGCCACCCTTCTCACACCGAAGGGAATTCAGAGCAGCTTACAAGATATATATACATACATATTTTATATATATGTGTGTGTGTGTGTGTGTATGTATGTGTGTGTGTGTGTGTGTGTGTGTGTGTATATATATATATATATATATATAATATTATATATTATATTTTATTTATAATTATAATATTATAAACCGCTTTGTGTCCCACCAGGGGTGAGAAAAGCGGTATATAAATACTGTAAATAAATAATGTAATGTAATATAATTAATATAATATAATATATTGTAAGTATATATATATCTTATGATATTATATTACTACAATATCAGTATTAAATATTACTATATTGTACTATACCATTATATTGTAATATTATTAGTAATATTACATCTATAAATAAAAATGTAATGTTTGTTTGTGGGATTAACATAACTCATAAACCACGGGACGAATTGACACCAAATTGGGACACATTACACCTATCAGGCCAATGAGTGACCATCACCCATAAAAACACTGAAAAACACAGCAGAAGAGACTTTAAAAGCCAAAAAACAAAAATTACATTACAACACAAGCGCAAAACCATATATATATATACATGAACAGTGCAACCAATCAAAGAAGACGGTAAATGGAACATAGGAATGGCACAAGGATTATGAGAACGGATCTGATTTCACTGAGGCGTTATGTTGTGTGTGTTGACTGTCCTGTTCTGTTTTGTTAACTGTTGTGGATTGATGTTGTTGATCCTGTTTGTCGCACTTGTTGCGTTTTAATTGCACTGACACTGTTAATAATTTGTACCATGTAAACCGCATAGAGTCGCTTGTCGGGGCTGAAATATGCGGTATAGAAATAAAGCAAATAATAATAATAATAATAATATATATACACACACAAACAAACGTATACACAAATATACACACACAAAACACATATACACAGACTGGGCCACAGCAACGCGTGGCAGGGGACAGCTAGTGTAATATAAATATATAATTATAATATATTATTATTAATATTATATTGCATTACATTATAATATTATACATATTTTATGTATATACAATATATTATATTATATTATATTATATTATATTACATTATTATATTATATTACATTACATTACATTACATTACATTACATTACATTACATTATATTATATTATTAGCATAGCACAAGAGACAAGGTGGAACTGTCCCCTGGCCCCCTCTCTCTTCACTCTGACCCAGAGCAGCAGTTGGTACTGGGCGGACCTGATGACATAAAATTGATAAAATTGATCTTTTCCATGTGCAGCTCTTTATTTTGATACCACCATCATAAAATGCCAATTGAGATCTAAACTGTTCACATTTATTATAATCTACTCAGTGTTTTTGCCTTAAAGCCTGGACTTTCTCCCTGTTCTTAATGTGGTCTCTATTTTATTTTATAGACCCACCAAAGGATAATGGCGGAGCAGAGATCTCTATGTATATCCTAGAAATGTCAGAGGCCTCGGCTGGTAAGCATAATCTGAGTTGGAAAAGACTAGTAAACCCTACATCATTAATTTTAAATGTCTGATTTAAGCATGACTTGGTCTGGACCCAACAAAATATCTGTACATTTTTTTTTTAAGAATACTTGGTTGGTTTTGTATTCTAGAGGAATGTTACAATGCTACTACAGTAGAGTCTCACTTATCCAACCTTCGCTCATCCAACATTCTGCATTATCCAACGCAGTCGGCCTCCAACCCGGCTTCACAGCTGTTTCAATACATTGCGATGTTTTGGTACTAAATTCGTAAATACAGTAATTACTACGTAACATTCCTGTATATTGAACTGCTTTTTCTGTTGATTTCTTGTCAAACATGATGTTTTGGTGCTTAATTTGTAAAATCATATAAATGTTTAATAGGCTTTTAATCCCTCCTTGTTATCCAACATTTTCCCTTGTCCAACATTCTGCCGGCTCGTTTATGTTGGATGAGCGAGACTCTACTGTATTTTTCTTCCTCCCTTTCTGTTTTTTATTTTGTTACGATCTCCCTGTCAACTCAATTCAATTTAATAAAAGATGAAGTAATAGTTTGGATTTTCTGTTTATCACACTCGCTTTTCCATCCATATGGATGAGTCCAAGTATTTTTTTTATAACAAATCCAGTGTTAATTTTATTTTAATAAATATTAGTAAGTCAGACTTGGCCACGATAGTCCATGCTCTAATTACATACTGAATAGACTACTGCAATGCGCTCTAGGTGGGGGTTGCCTTTGAAGACTGTTCGGAAGCTCCAAATGGTCCAACAGGCGGCAGCCAGATTGCTCACCAGAGCGGGGTACAGGGAGCATGCAACCCCCTAGGTACGCAAGCTCCACTGACTGCCAGTCTGCTACCGAGCACAATTCAAAGTGCTGGCTTTAGCCTATAGAGCTCTAAACAGTTCAGTTCCAGCCTACCAGCCCAACTTCTCTCTCTATGAACCATCTTGGAGGCTAAGATCGTCCGGGGAGGCCCTGCTCTCTGTCCTGTCTCCTTCGCAGGTGCGACTGCTGGGGACAAAAGACGGGGCCTTCTCAGTGGTGGCCCCCCATCTATGGAACTCCTTCCCCAATGAAATTAGATCTCTCTTGGCCTTCAGAAAAAAGTAAAAACATGGCTGTGGAACCAAGTATTTGGGCAGTAAGCAGGACAAGAAATGAACATGCATTATGTGCAACTGTTATTTGATACTGGAACGGCTTGGACCATGCTTTTTGATCATGTGATTTTAATGTTTACATTAATATGTTTTAAATTCCTCGTTTTAATGATTAAATGTAGTAAAGTTTTATGATTCAATTTATTGTTTTATGATAGTTTTTCATGTTTTGTAAGGCGTTGAATTTTGCCATAAATATGTTGCAAATGGCTTTGAGTCTCCCCAGGAGTGAGAAAAGCAGTATATAAATGAAGCAAATAAATAAATAAATAAATAAATAAAAGTAATTAATAACAACTAAATGCTTAATAATAATATATTTTATTTATATTCTGCTCTGTCTCCCCGAGGGGACTCAGAGTGGATTATAGAATATATATGGCAAACATTCAGTGCTATTATACAATTAACAGCAAAAATGGACAGTACACAGACAGAGGTCAAGGCTTCCCCCATTTCATCTCCAGCATCTGGAGGTTGTGCTCAACTCCAGCCATGGGGAGGTGCTCTTGTTACGTTTTACATGCCAAAGAGCCTGTTGTCCATAGATGCCTTCCCGATCGAATTACTGGCATGTCTACCAAACTCGCAAATTTTGTATTTTGTCTGTTTGTTTGTTTGTTTGTTTTGTTCTGTTAGAAATGTAATAAAATTGACTTGTTGCCCTGACATGACAAATAAATAAATACTGGCATGTCTGCATGGGTGCCTTTTATCTCCCCGTCGAAGCGGTACCTGTTGATTATTCTTTTTGATCTGCCAGGTTGGCAGAAGTTAGGGCTAACGGTGGGAGCTCACCCCAACCCGTACCTTCTGTTCTGTAAGATTTTCTGCAACTGGCATTTAACCTGCTGTGCTACCGCAGCCCCCAAATGTCAAATCATAAGACCAGCAAGAATAAACTATGAGCAATGGGGTGGTCGTACATTCAACCTTGAGCCATGATGGGATATGTTTCTAGGTCCAGTATTTTCAGTGGTGAGAAACCAAAGACACCATGTGAGCAGTTCCATAATGTGCCAAGTTGTGAAAATATTCGATTTGCAAAACAAATGTTGTCACTTTTTCCCATCTTGAAAATGTACTTTCTTTTTCTCTTAGGCAGTAAATGGGAAGTGGCTTACAGTGGTCCCACGAGAGAACATGTATGTGCTCATCTCAAGCCTGGTACTTCCTACAGACTAAGAGTTTCCTGTGTTGGCAAAGGGGGGCAGAGTCAGGTGAGTCATGGAGTCCCTTGGAAATAGTTCTTTCTGTGAGTGACCCATATTTTCCATGGCTACTCATAGGAAGCTGCAGAGAGTAGGATTGGCTACATAATTCATTATCCCCAGCAGCTATCACAGTTGAATACTTCAAAGCCTGGGTGGGTTAAGGCTTTGAGTAGAATTTCAAGCTTCTAGGACCACCTGGAATCACACTGTATCCAATTCTGGGCACCACAGTTGAAGGGAGATGGTGACAAGCTGGAAAGTGTTCAGAGGAGGGCGAATAAAATAATAAAGGGTTTGGAGAACAAGCCCTTTGTGGAGCGGCTTAAAGAGATGGGCATGTTTATTAGACGCGAATGAGGACATTCTATTTGTGTACTTGGTGGCCGGGAGAGCTTTTGCACAACTAAAACTTGTGCGCCAGCTGCGCCCGTTCCTTGGGAAGTCTGACTTGGCCACGGTGGTCCATGCTCTGGTTACATCCCGTATAGACTACTGCAACGCTCTCTACGTGGGGTTGCCTTCGAAGACTGTTCGGAAGCTCCAAATGGTCCAACGGGCGGCAGCCAGGTTGCTAACAGGAGTGGCGCCCAGGGAGCATACAACTCCCCTGTTGTGCCAGCTCCACTGGCTGCCAGTTTGCTACCGAGCACAATTCAAAGTGCTGGCTTTAGCCTATAAAGCCCTAAGTGGTTCTGGCCCTGCTTATCTGTCTGAACGTATGTCTCCTTACGAACCCTCCAGGAACTTAAGATCTTCTGGGGAGGCCCTGCTCTCGGCCCTGCCATCTTCACAGGCTCGATTGGCGGGGACGAGGGATGGGGCCTTCTCAGCGGTGGCCCCTCGGTTGTGGAATGCCCTCCCCAGGGACATTAGATCAGCCCCCACCCTTTTAACGTTTCGCAAAAAAGATATAACTTGTCTATATGAGCAGGCCTTCCCAAACGCAGTGCAGCTAATAAACTCTGATCTCGGAATGGTTGGACAACGTGACTGGATAATGACTGGTAAAGAATTGCAGAGGACTTACGGTTTTTATTGTGTTACTGATGTTAATTGTAATGAATTTTTACCTGTGTTAAATGTTTTTAATGTTTAAATTATTTTTGTACTGTTGTGGGCATCGAATTGTGCCGTTTTGTAAACCGCCATGAGTCGCCCTCGGGCTGAGAATGGCGGTATAGAAGCATAGTAAACAAGTAAGTAAGTAAATAAATAAATACTTAACGACAGCTGCTAGGATAGTATATGTGAAATATTGGAAATAGAAGGAAATACCGGACACAGATCGGTGGATAAATAAAAGAAAAGAAATAAAAGACATGGACAAGTTCACTTTTTTGATGAAAAAGAACACAGGAAACCCGATCAGGCAAACTAATTACATCAATATACAACACAACACAGCAATAAAATATAAAGAAAATACAATACAATACATGACAGGAAGCTAATGTGGATGTTTTTTTTCTAGGCATCTGATGTCCTCACGGTTCAGACAGCAGCTGTTCCCCCAGGGCCATGCCATTCTCCTTGCCTGGCGAGCAAAGCCAGACCTAAGGATATCTCTCTTCAGTGGGGTAAGGTCTAAAATCTAAGTGAGTGTGTGTGTGTGTGTGTGTGCATGCAGTGTTTTGTGTGAAAAACGTGACTTATATGGGCCTTGCCGCCCCATATTTTCCAGATCCACCTTCCATGGACGGGGGCTCAGAGATTACGGAGTACATTGTGGAAACCGCAAACTCTGACCAGGATGAGCGCAGACAGGTCTACCATGGCCAGGCGCTTGAGTGCACAGTGACCGGTCTCCTTCCTGGGAGGACATACTGCTTCTGGATTCGAGCAGCCAACAAAGTTGGGGTATCTGGTTGAGTTTTTGTTTCAGAATAATAGTTTAAAAGACATTTACAAAAATACACTTCAAGTGCTATGCTAACAAGAGTGTGTCTGTCGTAAGGTGCCTGTGTGCATACTTCCCCACCACAAGGAAACTGCACATTGATTTCAGAACTTAGACAATCCCCTACACTACAACACTTTAAGAAAAAGATGATAAAGTTATTGTTATTGTTATTATTATTATTGTCTGTTTGTTAAGTATATACATTTGTAGACTTTCTTCATAACATACAATTATGATTTTGAAAAGTTTTGGGAAATGTCAGATCTATATTTGACTCTGGAACTCCCTGTCGCGGGAAATCAGAACGACCCCCACCCTGCTGTTCTTCCGACGGCAGGCTAAAACCTAGAAGGTGTTTAAGATCTAGTCAGAGGGTGTTGTGGTTTTAATTTTGAATATGTTTCGACAGTTTTAACTATTTTTTTTAGTACTATTTGTGTTTAATTGTGTCTTAATTTTTGTATATTTATATATTTTAAATTCTGTGCTAGTGACTTTCAGTCCCCTTTGGAGAGATAAAGCAGGGTATAACTATAATAATAATAATAATAATAATAATAGAGTTTGAGATTAACCCTATGGCTCAGGTGTCTTGACTCCACTCAGTTGTAGAATCAATATTGGAAGAAGTTTCCATTGAAAAAGAAGCACCCAGGGGACACCATTCATTAATTAATATTTATTTTCTATATTTCAACTCTTGTTGCATCTCGGATAGATTACTGCAACGCACTCTACGTGGGGTTGCCTTTGAATACTGTTCGGAAACTCCAACTAGTCCAGCGGGAGGCAGCCAGATTGCTCACTGGAGTGTCATACAGGGAGCATACCACCCCCCTGTTATGTCAGCTCCACTGGCTGCCGATCCAGTTCCGAGCACAATTCAAAGTGCTGGTTTTGACCTACAAAACCCTATACGGTTCCGGCCCAGCGTATCTGTCCGAACGCATCTCCCTTTACGTCCCATCTCGGAGTCTGAGATCCTCTGGGGAGGCCCTGCTCTCGACCCCGCCTCTGTCACAAGTGAGATTGGCGGGGACGAGGAGCAGGGCCTTCTCTGTGGTGATTCCTCACCTATGGAATTCACTCCCCGGGGAGATTAGATCAGCAACATCCCTCCTTTCCTTCAGAAAGAAATTAAAAACATGGATGTGGGACCAGGCGTTTGGGCAATCTAGCAGATGAATAAAGGACTGTGACGATGGATAGGAATTGGACAAGGTGGAACGAAATATGAACTCTGAGTTGGTGAACGCTGTGTCTGAGATTGGCTATTGACTGTGTGATATATTGTTGTTTTAATTGTTTTTAATTGTTGACCATTTAATTGCTGGTTTTATGTTATTGTATTTGTGTAGGCACCAAGATGTGCCTTTTTGTAAGCCGCCCTGAGTCCCCCCTCGGGGGTTGAGAAGGGCGGGGTAGAAGTATACGAAATAAATAAATAAATAAATAAATAAGCTGACCAAATATAATCCAAGGCACCTAATTTTACAACAGAAAACGTATTGAATCGAGTATAACCTACTGATGCCCCAATTAATGTGATTTTATTGTTTATCTTTTATTTTGAAATTTACCACTAGCTGCTGTCCACTGAAATTTTCTACATTATGGCAAGTTTATAGAAACAAGTTAAGAATCCCTGATCTAGACATTCAAAATCCATAACTTGTTCCTGCCTATTTCTGTTTGTTTATTAGCAAGGAGGAAGTGAGTGGCTGTTGCGCTGTACAGTAGGGTATGTTTTTTTTTTTAAAAGGTCTCTTTTATCCTCAGCCTCTCAGGCCCTTAGTTTTCACCTTTTGTTTCATGCAAACAAATAAAGATGTGGGGCTGGAGTGAGATTCAAGAACCTCTGGAGTCAACCTGAGCATGACACTTGGATTGCTACCATTTTCCAGATCCTCACTATGCAAATATACCAAAACCCAAAACACTTCTGGTCCCGAGAAGTTCAGATAACGGATACCCAACCTGCAGATGGATTCAAAATTGACTTGTATTTCTATCCTTTCCTTATCTTTATGATGTTTTTCTTTTCAGCTTGGTCCTTACTCAGAAAAAGCAGAAATCTGCACTGCTCCTGGCCCTCCAGATCCGTGCTGCGTCCCCCTTCTCACCAGTAAGACAGCTACGTGTGTCGTGGCCTCATGGGAGGTATGTTTTTCCCCCCTTTCCCAACGTTATGCAATCTATTAAATGATTTTCTCATTTAAATGATGGAAAGCTTTGCATGTACTCTTATATCACGAAGAATGTGCTTCACATGTACTGTGAAATGCACGGTTTTGTTGAGTAGCCAATCTTCTACTACCAGCAAGCTGTGCATTGATTTCACTGCATTTGGATAGTATTGTCATATTCTTTCACAATTCATTCGTCTTTTAAATATTTGCGTCTTAATTTTCCACCATCAAGGCAGAATGATTTACATTTGAGATTGACAAGCTTATTACTACCTTTTTCTGTAGGAACATTACCTATGTAGCTGCTGTGCACATCACAAGCTTTTCATGATTGTTTGGTTCTGTTGTTTTCTCTTTTTCTGCAAGATCCCAGCCTGCAATGGCGCAGAAGTCACTGAATACAAGCTGGAGTGGGGGCAAGTGGAAGGATTAATGCACATAATATACTCTGGTCCTCTTCTGAGTTACGAGGTGAAAGGGCTGACCCCTGCGACCACATATTATTGTAGAGTACAGGTATGTAAATTGGGATATTTTGATGGCGCCTCCCCTTTTTTTCTTTCATTGTATGAATAGTGTATCAAACCCAGTTCTCTCAATTTCATAGCCTTGTTTTATTGCAAGGAAATTACCGTATATACTCAAGTATAAGCCGGGGTTCTCAGCCCTTTTCTAAGGCTGAAAAAGCCCCCCTCAAGTAAGAGTTATTTATTATTTTACTCTGTTGTTATTATTATTATTATTATTATTACATTTATTATTCTACTATATTTATTATTAATACATTATTTTACTCTATTATTATTACATTTATTATCCTACTGTATTATTATTATTATTATTACATTATTTTACTCCATTATTATTACATTTATTATCCTACTCTTTATTATTATTACATTATTTTACTCTATTATTATTATATTTATTATCCTACTCTAGTATTATTATTACATTTATAGTCCTACTCTATTATTATTATTATTATCACTGCATTATTATACTCTGTTATTACATTTATTATCCTACTCTATTTATTATTGTTACATTTATTATTTTACTCTATTATCACTGCTATTATTACATTTCCACTATTTTACTCCATTATTATTATTTTTATTACATTTCTTATTTTACTCTCTATTACTATTGGAAGGATACGTACACATATTTACATTACATTAGAATAATGATTGAACCAGAGTTGGACAGTCTTATCTTAAATTAAATTAAATTTTATGTAAATATTCAAAAACAGTTAACCTACTGATGCTTCAATTAATGTAATTTTATTGGTATCTATCTTTTTTGAAATTTACCAGTAGTTGCTGCATTCCCCACCCTCGGTTTATACTCAAGCCAATATGTTTTCTCAGTTTTCTGTGGTAAAATTAGGTGCCTTGGCTTATATTTGGGTGGGCTTATACTCGAGGATATACGGTACGTTCCCCTGTAGTTGGGAAACCACTACTCTTTTTGTACTGTGTGAAGTAGCATGTATTCCCAGCATCATGTGTACATATTTGAGATAATCACTGTCTTCTCTTTGTTCCTCCCTCTGCTCTTCAGGCGGTGAATGTAGCCGGTGCCGGCTTGTTTGGGGAAATAGGGATGATCACGACCCCGGCTTCGGTGCCAGCTGCGGTGCCTGTGCTGCACTTGCTGGAAGAAGACCAGACGGAGGGGCCGCTTCCTCTCTCGACGTGCCTTGCTCTTCACTGGGAGGAGCCCTGTTGCCATGGGGCAGAGGTCATGGGCTACAACATCGAATACGGAGAGAAACAGGTCTTAACCGTCAACCGAGTTACAAGCCATGTTTTGGAGAACCTGCAACCCGACACTTTATACAGGTGACTAACGGGCTGTATTCCTCTCTGAAGATACAGCATGATCCTTTATTTCAGGCATGGGCGAACTTTGGCCCTCCAGGTGTTTTGGACTTCAACTCCCACAATTCCTAACAGACAATAGGCTGTTATGAATTGTGGGAGTTGTAGTCCAAAACACCTGGAGGGCCAAAGTTCGCCCATGCCTGCTCTATATGCAGGGCTCACAGTTTCGCTCACCCACATCTGAAGGAATATGTATTTTCTGAACATTTCCTTGGTTTGCCAGCACAATTCTATGGTATTCTTCCATCAGAGTTGCACTGGAGGGCCTAGAAATACTAGGAGAGGTGTTTGTTCAGCATTTCTAGGTCCTTTAGCGTGATTCTGTGCTATGCCTCCACTGGTATGTGAGCATAGACTTTTGCTGGGGAAACTAAAAATGCTAGATAGGTAGTTTCTAGTCATTTTTCATGTCAAACCCAAGGCCTGGAAGCTGAATCCAACTTGCCATGTCATTTCATGTTGCTACAACTCCTGTATTCCTGACTAAAACTGGTGGGAGTTGTGATTTAGTAACAGCTGGAAGGCGGCAGTTTCTTCAGTTTAGTCTGGAGAGTGGAGTTTGGATTTAAATACAGGGCTTACGGATATGTCTGACTTTAAAATGACCTTGAACCTTTCCCCAACCTCAGCGCCACAAGTTCTGTTGGATTGCCATTCCCATTATGCTTATATTATATTATATTATATTATATTATATTATATTATATTATATTATATTATATTATATTATATTATATATTACATTATATATATTATATTATATATATATATATTATACATAATATAATATATAGAATATATATATATATATATATATATATATATTCATTCCCATTGTGCTTATAATATATATAATATAATATATACAACATATAGTATATACATAAAATATGGATAATATTATAATGTAATACAATATAATACTACTAATAATATGATATTATAATTATGTTTTATATTAAATGTAATACTACTAATAATATTACAGTATCATGCTACAGTACAATATAATAATATATAATATTAATATTGTGCTATGGCAATATATAAGGCCCCCCCGGTATATTGGGTTAAAGTGGGTTAAAGCGCTGAGCTGCTAAGCTTGTTGACCAAAAGGTCACAGGTTCGATTCCGGGGAGCGGCGTGAGCTTCCGCTGTCAGCCCTAGCTTCTGCCAACCTAGCAGTTCGAAAACATGCAAATGTGAGTAGATCAATAGGTACCGCTCCGGCGAGAAGGTAACGGCGCTCCATGCAGTCATGCTGGCCACATGACCTTGGAGGTGTCTACGGACAACGCTGGCTCTTACTTAGAAATGAAGAGGAGCACCACACCCCAGAGTCAGACATGACTGGACTTAATGTCAGGGGACAACCTTTACCTTAATATTACTAATAATATTACAGTATCATGTTTTAGTACAGTATAATAATATATAATAATATATAGTGGAGCCCCCGGTGGCGCAGTGGGTTAAACCCCTGTGCCAGCAGGACTGAAGACCGACAGGTCACAGGTTCGAATCCGGGGAGAGGCGGATGAGCTCCCTCTATCAGTTCCAGCTCCTCATGCGGGGACATGAGAGAAGCCTCCCAGAAGGATGATAAAACATCAAAATCATCCGGGCGTCCCCTGAGCAACGTCTTTGCAGACGGCCAGTTCTCTCACAACAGGATTCTCCTGACACGACAAATAATAATAATAATAATAATAATAATAATAATAATAATAATAATAATATAGTACAATATAATAATATATAATAATATTGTGCTATGGTAATAATATAATATATTGTATTTACATTTTACTTGTAAGCTACTCTAGGGTGAGAAGGGCGGCATATAAATGTCATAAATAAATAAATAAATTATCCCCAGTCTGCATGGCAGATAATCCTGACAAAGGCTAATCCTTTTGGGATCCAAACGTTTCCCATCTTTCATTCACTTTCTGCCTCCAAAGAGAAGATGAAGAAAAGGAAAGGCTGGAGGGTGGGGGGGACTTGCATAGAACCCCTACCCAGCTCACCCACCCCACTCCAGCCAGCCATGCAGCCCCCAAGTTAGAAAGTTTGCCCATGCGTGGTTTAGATGTCCATAAAAGCTTATGCTAGAAAGGCCCTCTTCCCAGTCAGTCTCAGAGTTCCTTCCTGGAAGGCCTTTTGTTTTGTTATACCACAGCTCCCTCTTTGAATACTCTTGCAAAGAATTGGTAGGTAATAATAATGAAAAGGAACATCCCCAGATAACTTTGTTCACGGCAACGTTTCCTCTTAGAATCCGGATCCAGGCCTTCAACAGTCTCGGAGCGGGTCCCTTCAGCCCTTCCATTAAAGCAAAAACGAAGCCTTTGCCGCCAGAGCCCCCGCACCTGGAATGTGTTGTCTTCAGTTACCAGAGCCTTAAGCTGAAATGGGGAGAAGGGCCCAGCAGGGCTTTGATCGCCAATCCCACGCACTTCAACCTGCAGATGGAAGACCGATTTGGCAGGTGAGCTCTCTCTGGGAAAATAGTGTCTTTTCTTTGTCATTTTTCTGAAGATGACACACGTTGATGCCAATTAGGTCTCTGGTAGAAGGTAAAGGGAACCGTAATCTTGCAGCTGGATTTGAATCTAGAACCCAAATGATATTGAAGTGCAATCGGTTCATTGGTTGGGTTGCTGAGAGTTTATTGGGATGTATGGCCATGTTCTGGAAGCATTCTCTCCTGACGTTTCACCCACATCTATGGCAGGCATTCTCAGAGGTTATGAGGTCTGTTGGAAACTAGGTAAGTGAGGTTTATATATCTGTGGAATAATGTCCAGGTTGGGAGAAAGAACTCTTGTCTGTTTGAGGCAAGTGTGAAAGTTTCAGTTGGCCACCATGATTAGCATTAAATGGCATTGCAGCTTCAAAGCCTATCTGCTTCCTGCCAGGGAGAATTCTTTGTTGGGAGGTGTTAGCTGGTCCCTGATTGTTTCCTGTTTGGAATTCCCCTGTTTTTGAATGTTGTTCTTTATTTACTGCCCTGATTTTAGCATTTTTTAAAAAATACTGATAGCCAGGTTTTGTTCATTTTCATGGTTTTACACTTGCAGCTTCAAAGCCTGGTGGCCAGTTGCAACATTCACACTTGCCTCCAGCAGACAAGAGTTTTTTCTCACCCTGGACATTATTCCACAGATATATAAACCCCACTTGCCTAATTTCCAACTGACCTCACAACCTCTGAGGATGCCTGCCATAGATGTGGACGAAACGTCAGAAGAGAATACTTCTGAGACATGGCGTCCGAAAATTCACAGCAACCCAGAAATTCCAGCCATGAAAGCCCTTAACAACAGGCTCATTGGTTGATTTGCCTTTTAAAGGAGCGCTGTCAGAATATGTACATTTAAAAAACTAATTGATGGAAAATATTCATTCAAGGAGATGTTCAGGATGTGTTTTATGCCACTTCTATAGAGATCCCTAGTTCCTTGCCCAATTTTTTCCTTGCTGGGTCACTCTCGTTTTATCTTCTTTTACAAGGGCAGATATGTGTCATCCGGGCTTCCCTTGACAGGAAGGTTCTGCTTATCTCTAACTCAGGACTTTCTCAGCTTTTGAACAGCTTATCCATCTAGTCCAACCCCTTTTCGTGCAGGATGCCACAATCAAAGTGCTCCTGATAGACAGTCTCTGTGGAAAAGCCTCCAGAGAAGGAGACTCCACCACACTCCCAGGCAGGCTATGCCACTCTTCAACAGCTCTGACTCTCAGGAAGTTCTTCCTAGTCTTTTCAGTCGAATCTCTTTCCTTACCATTTGAACCCATTGCTTCCTTGTGCCCTGATCTCTAGAGCAGCAGAAAGTCAGTTTTTCCTCTCCTCAATGGGACACCTTTTAAATCTTGAAACATGGTTCTCATGTTCCCTCTCTGCCTTCTCTTATCCCAGCTAAATATCCCCCAGGAGGAAAGGAGGAAGGAAAAGGAGAAGGAAGTAAGGGAGGAAGAGAAGGGTGGAAGGGAATGGGGGGTGGGAGGAAAGAGAAAAAGGGAAGGAAGGAGAAAAAGAGGGAAGATGGGAGGAAAGAGGGAAGGAAGGAAAGGGTGGAAGGAGGAAGAAAAAAGGAAAGGAGGAAAGAGGGAAGGAAGGAGAAAGGGGGAAGGAAGGAGGGAGGGAGGAAGAAGAGAAGAAAAGGAGGAAGGAAGTGAAAGGGAAGGAGGGAGGGAGGAAGAAGATAAGAAAAGGAGGGAGGGAGGGTGGAAGGGAATGGAGGGAGGGAGGAAAGACAAAAAGGGAAGGAAGGAGAAAAAGAGGGAAGATGGGAGGAAAGAGGGAAGGAAGGAATGATGAAAGGGTGGAAGGAGGGAGGGAGGAAGAAAAGAGGGAAGATGCTAGGAAAGAGGGAAGAAAGGAAGGATTGAAAAGGTGGCAGGGAAGGAGGGAGGAAGAAGAGAAGAAAAGGAGGGAGGGAGGATGGAAGGGAATGGAGGGAGGAAAGATAAAAGGGAATGAAGGAAGAAAGGAGAAAAAGAGGGAAGATGAGAGGAAAGAGGGAAGGAAGGATGAAGGGGAAGATGAACAGACATATTGACGTAGGTGCCTTACCTCCAAGAGAATGGAAATGAGAAGAAGGCAAGTACAAAACGCGAAGGAAGGGACAGAACAGTTGAAGGATTTAGTAAAGAGGAAGTACGAACAGTTGGACGGTACGTACAGGACCTAGCTTATTGAGTTCACTTCTTGTCCGTCCCTCTACTTAAGAGAAGGAAGGACAGGATGGTGTGAGAGAGGAGGGCCTGGGAAAAGAGCCCAAGGGGCCACAACCAGCCCTAGAGCCTGGGTTTACCCATACCTGGTTTAACCCACTCAAGATCTCTTCTTGTCTGCAAACAAGAATTAAGTGCCCTTTGCTCCATTTTACAATGAAATTTAAAGGTCATGGTAGGAGTTGCATCTTTAAAAAACAAAACAGACTTGATAATGTGTGCCTCAGCGTAAACCCAGCCTTATTATTCCAACCTCTCCCCTCCCACTAGATTCAGCACTGTCTACAGTGGACCTTGTCACACATACAAAGTGCAGCGACTTAGTGAATCCACAACATACTACTTTAAGATCCAGGCGTGCAACGATGCCGGTGAAGGGGATTTTTCTGAAGTTTACGCATTCACTACAACCAAATCTCCACCGCCGGCGCTGAAAGGTGAGGGCATGTCTCACGTTTGCTTGTTTGTTTCTGTTGGAATATTTCATTGGCTGTCCACCATCAGAAGATAGTGTTGCTTAGGAACAAAACAGCAGTATTTTTTCTTTAAATTGTTAGTAAGAAATAACGGCGCTCCATGCAGTCATGGTGGCCACATGACCTTGGAGGTGTCTATGGACAACGCCGGCACTTAGGCTTTGAAATGGAGAAACCTTACCTTTCTTTGCATTGTGACCACTGTTGGAATGGAAGGCAATGGCTCTATAGGACTTTTTGTGTTGCAAATTTTAAAAAGATGAGTGTTGGAAATGAATTGCTGAATCACAAATTCCTTTTTTCTTCTCTAGCGCCCAAAGTGCATCAGCTGGGAGACAACGCCTGTGAAGTCACATGGGAGCCTTTACAGCCAATGAAAGGCGATGCCATCGTTTACATTTTACAACTTACCAGTGGGAGGGAAGTTGATCAGGTAGTTGGATCTTTTCTTGTTGTCTTGGAAAGTGTTGCTGTTTCTTGAAATTTTAAATATATAGCTGCAAAATGGACCACACATTGACTTTGCTGTAAAGACACCTTATCATCACCTGAATATTTCTCGGGTAAGAGAACACCAGACAGATTTCTATGTAGCCTTCATGAACATTATGTGTTCAGAAGACACTGAAGATCCACAGCATAGTTCCTGGAGATGAGAAGTTGGTATTCTTGAGTACATAACTCATTTGTATAATGTTAGCATTTAATCATTTGGAGAGTTAATATTTTTAATATATTTTATTTATTCAAGTAGACATATATTTGCAAGTGTTTGTTGCATACAATGCAATACTTTCTATCTATTAGTGTTCCATAATCATTTATCTGATAATATATTTCCTTTAAAGGTTCACAGTCTACTATCTAAATAATACATATAAAAATATCATAGAATCTTACTTTACATCCGCTTCCTCCTTGTTGTCTACAGTCTTATAGGATCCTCTCTATATATATTTAATTTAATTTTACATTAAGATGTTGAATCATTGGTTGCCATTCATTAATAAAGTTATATAATAGTTCTCCTCTTAATAATACAGTTATTTTGTCTATTATCAGTATATCTGTAATATATTTTTCCCATTCTTCTAAAGGAGGTATCTCTGGGAGAATTACTGTATATACTCGAGTATAAGCCTAGATTTTCAGGGCCTTTTTTAGGCTGAAAAAGCTCCCCTCAGCTTATACTTGAGTCAAGGTTGTTTATTATTTTCTCTGTTTCATGTTTATTACATTTATTATTTTACTATATTTATTATTATTAGTAGTACATTTATTATTTTGCTCTATTATTTATTTATTTACTATATTTGTATACCGCCTTTCTCAGCCCTTGGGCAACTTTATTATTATTGTTATTATTACATTTATTATTTTACTCTACTGTTGTTACATTTATTATTTTACACTATTTATTATTATTATTACATTTATTATTTTACTCTATTATTATTGGAAGGATACGTAAGCACATTTACATGGAAGAAGATTCAAAAACATTTAACCTACTGATGCCTCAATTACTGTAATATTATTGGTATCTATTTTTATTTTGAAATTTACCATTCGCTGCTATATTTCCCACTTTCGGCATATATTTGAGTCAATACATTTCCCCAGTTTTTTGTGGTAAAATTAGGTGCCTCGGCTTATATTCGGGTCAGCTTAAACTCTAGTATATATGGTAATATTTTTTCAGAACTTGCAATTACAGTCCTATACATTGTTTACATGCTTCTCCCCTTAATCAAGCTAGATCCCAATTTATGACAGTAATAATTTTATAAGAAATATGAAACTTAAAAAGATGGCACTACTTCCCATGTTTTTTTTTCTGTATTAGAAAGAGTTCTCGCTTCAAAGTTCTTTCTATTTTCAGGATTCGATAGCAAAAAGCTATGGTGGTTCAAGCAGGGATAAACTGCATTGAATCAACAGTGTAGATAGAGCCATAAATATTTGCACATGATTTTTTAAAAAGATCCAAAGGCAGCATCTTATAGGATTACAATTAAACAATGTCATAGAGCCCCCTTAACTATGTGTGTCCTTATCTTTTGTGTCCTACAGTCAACTTCTCCACAGAGCCTTGCCAATGTGCTGATGGGCAAGTGGGCTTATTAACAAAAGACCCTCCTCATAAATGCACAGCAGAGTAACTTATCACCAGCAGTGTGACCCAGCACCAGTAGCCCAAAGTGATAAAAGAACAAAAACACACAGACCAATGTTATTTCTTCCATAGGAGGGGGGGTTTTTGGTAATAAAATAATATGGTTGCACTATTTACAAAAATGAGGTTTCCATAACATGAACAAAGTTTTTTATACTTCGGTCTTTGCTTCCATGCTGGGCTTCTTTCTCATGCAGATAAACAGCTTCTCTCTTAAGGAGCCTCTTCTCACACTGAAGTTACACAGGAGCTTCACACTGTAGCTTTATACACAGTAGCTTTCACACTGGAGCTTCACACACCAAGCCTTCTCAAACTGAGGCCTACTAACACTGAGACCTTTCTCCCACTGAGAACTCTCTCAGACGGAGGTATTTCTCCTACCTAGATGAAGCAACACAGAGGCCTACTAACACACTGAGGCTCTTCTCCTACAGAGACCTCTCACTGATTGAGCGCTACTAAGCTACAGGCACACCTGCTTATATAGAACTACAGCTTTTATTGAATCATTGCATCCATTTTAACCCTTTCAGTGCTTGACTCACATTTTTGCAATTAAAAATACCTAGTTAGTTTTAATATTTCTAACATGTGTCTATGAGCCTCTGTGGTCAACTCCCCTATAGAGCATCCCTGCTAATGTGCCTCCTTGCCTATGGGCTGCTATGTTCAGCGCTCTCATAGAGCCCCCTTAACTATGTGCCAGTGTGCCTCCTTGTCTTTGGGTCCCAATGGTCATCTTCCCCATATGTTTCCTTTTGCCAGGGGCCGTAGCTCAGAGGTAGTGCACACACTTTGGATGGAGAGGGTCCCATTTTTAGGTCGGACTTCCGTTTGAAACTCTGGAGAGTGATGCAGAGGGACATATTGGTGTACTTGATATAATTAAGACTATGGCTCCTTCCACATTTCTTCTTTGAATTCAAATATATATGAAGAGAGGAGAGGACAGGGGGCAGCTCTTGTCTCCTTTATATGTCATCAGTTGGGGACCCTTCCCCCCAGCACCAACTGCCGCTCTGGGCCAGAGTGAAGAGAGAGGGGGCCAGGGGACAGTTCCACCTTGTCTCCTGTGCTATGCTAATAATATAATATAATGTAATGTAATGTAATGTAATTAATATACTGTATATACATATAATATTTATAATATTATAATGTAATGCAATATAATACTACTAATAATATATTATAATTATATATTTATATTACATGTAATATTACTAATAATATTACAATATAATGGTATATAGTACAATATAGTAACATTTAATACTGATATTGTGCTATGCTAATAATATATTGTATGTATGTGTGTGTAATATATTACTAGCATAGCACAATATCAGTATTAAATGTTACTATATTGTACATGTAATATAAATATATAATTATAATATATTATTAGTAGTATTATATTGCATTACATTATAATATTATAAATATTATATGTATATATTGTATATATATGTATATATTGTATGTATGTGTGTGTATGGGAGCCCCCGGTGGCGCAGTGGGTTAAAGCACTGAGCTGCTGAGCTTGTTGATCGAAAGGTTGCAGGTTCAATTCCGGGGAGCGGCGTGAGCTTCCGCTGTCAGCCCTAGCTTCTGCCAACCTAGCAGTTCGAAAACATGCAAATGTGAGTAGATCAATAGGTACTGCTCCGGCGGGAAGGTAACAGCGCTCCATGCAGTCATGCCGGCCACATGACCTTGGAAGTGTCTATGGACAACGCTGGCTCTTCGGCTTAGAAATGGAGATGAGCACCACACCCCAGAGTCAGATATGACTAGACTTAATGTCAGGGGACTACCTTTACCTTTATGTGTATGTGTATATATATATATATCTTGTAAGCCACTTTGAGTCCCCTTCGAGGTGAGAAGGGCGGCATATAAATGTCATAAATAAATAATAAATATATGGCGGTGTGGACTCAGATAATCCAGTTCAAAGCAGATCTTGTGGGATTTTCTGCTTTGATATTCTGGTTTATATGGCTGTCTGGAAGGGCCCTATGTACCCATTAAAGTGTTTTCCTTTTTGAAACGCACGTGTGCTTCCTGTTTCCTTCTTAGGTATACAAGGGACCAGAGACTTCGTTCCGCTTCTCCAACCTTCAGACAAACTGTGAATACCGGTTCAGGGCGTGTGCTGGGCGCCAGTATCAGGACTCTGCTGGGCCGCAAGAACTGCTGGGGCCGTACAGCCCGAGCACTGCTTTTTCATCTCAGAAGCAGGAGCTTGTGTCGCCGTGTGCGGACGCGGGGCCCGACCTGCCGAAAAGCCGGAGGAAGCCGCTGAGCGATGAACAGTTTGCCTTCCTGCTCCTCCTCGTCTTCGCCACCGTCGCCATCCTGTTCGCTGTCATCATCCAGTACTTTGTTATCAAGTAAGCGAGCGGCTTTTGAGATTTGCCTTCATTACTCAGCTTATGATTATGACTATTATTTTTTTTTTCATATGGAAATTTATGCCTTGGGTATTTATGTAAATTCCAATTAAAAACGCTCGCTGGGAATGATTGTATATGACACACATTTCCCTTTTTGCTGCTGATGAACAGCAAGGCTGGGTGGGCTGGCTGGCCTCCCTCCCTCTCCTCCAGAAAGCCTCCCACCCGGGGAGAACGGAAGAGACGCAAACCCCCTATTCTAGCATTGTTGTGCATTTCTAATCAGGGTTAGCTGTTGAAAACAGCAAAAAAACACAAACAGACAACAAACAGCTGCCTTAACACGCACTTGTGATTCTCAGAGAGCTCGACTTTTAATACTCTTTATTCTCAAGGAAAGGGGTAAGGCAGTGGTTCCCAACCTATGGATCCCCAGATGTTTTGAGCGTGAACTCCCAGAAATCCTAATGAGGGTGTGTTCGAAATGAGTCCGGACACGGATTTTGGGAGCCTGATTCCTTGGAGCCTCAAGACTGCAAGAAGAAGCATCCTGCAATGGCCTCTTTGGAGTCTGGCACCAACTCAAAAAACGGCTGGGATTTCTGGGATTTGTAGTCCAAAACACAACAACCCACAGGTTGAGAACCACTGGGGTAAGGGATGGCCAGCCGCTTCGGTCTAAGCCTCGGCTTGTATCGAGACGCAGCAGCAAAGATGCTTAAGCGTAGAACAGTACTGTATTACAGGACATTTGCTAAAGCATACCACACCTGATATTATACTGTAGACAAAAAAGAAAGAATTGAAACCAAAATGTTAATCAACTTTTTAGTGCTACTCTTATTTTCTAAACGTTGGTTTCCCGCTCCTTTTTAATCGTTGGGACTCCAATAGTTGAACGGTCGACTGTAAGAGACAAAGGTAATCAGCAGATGGTGCTGACATCCTTTTTGAGAAGTTATTGGAAGCCCAGTCTTTCCCTACAGAGAGAGAGGGGGGTCTGCATCGATGGCCCTTCTTCTATGCCAGTGGTTCTCAACTTGTGGGTCCCCAGGTGTTTTGGCCTACAACTCCCAGAAATCCCAGCTGTTGGATTTTTGGGAGCTAAAGGCCAAAACATCTGGGGACCCACAGGTTGAGAACCAATGTTCTATCCATTTCTGAACAAAATGCTTTCCGACGTTGGTAAGCAAGTGTTGGCCCGACCCAGAGTCCGCTCTCAGTGCCTGAGAGACCACTTACTCACCCTGTGCTTCTGACTCAAAAAGAAAAGGAAAAAAAAAACTGCAGCCGCTTTTTCTTTCTTTTTTTCTTTTCGGAAGAAAAGCACAGAAAAAAAAATAATTTTTTTTGTTTGTCTTTAATGAAAACAAAAAAAAGTGCATTTATGATAAATGTTTCACTATTTGGCTCAAACTGAGCAAAAAAAAATATGTTTTTTGTACTATTCTTAACATAAAATTTAAGAAAAATAATAATAATAACAAAACAAATAAAAATGCAAGCTGTGGTTAGCTTTTGGGTTCTCCCTGCTTTTTGGCCCAACCTCCCCCCCCCCTTTCCTCCTTTTTTGGGATACCCTTCTAACGCAACCCAACTGATCAAGTCACAATGAGGAAATGAATTTTTCTGCTCCAGTTTGAAAGGAATTGCTGCCTTTCTTTGCAGCGATTCTGTGTTCAGTTCGTTTTTGTGCTTCGAGTCCTCTCTCTCCCTTGTTTTGTGGATCAATAATTCAGTAACAGGTCTGGCTTTTGGGTGGAATAGTGTTCCCCTCCCTCCCTTCTCTCCTTTGTTTCTTGGGGGGTCAATATCATGCACTACATAGGACCGTTCTGTATCAAGCCCCTGTAGCAGGTACCTGTGAAGTAGAAGTGACTCGATGTTGTCTCGTTTGGAAGCTGGAAAACGACCCGTTTTTGTTTCAGAGGAAAACGACGCTCACTTTCAAACAGCCACAGATATGTTTTGTTACCTTTTTTTGCACAGCGGGAGGGACTGAACATAGCAAGCTCCCCTTTTCCGACACATCCATCCGGACGCTTGCCCTTGTGAGACAGTGGGAGTGACGTGTACGACTCATTTTAGCTTGAGACATGCCATAGAACGTCATCAAAAAAGTGTTTCTCAGCCAGCTGTTAGTTCATTATAAGCTTATGGTTTGTGGCATTGTGTTTGCATTTCACACCTGGGTGGGGCGGGGGGGCACGTAGACACAGACAGACACACACACACATACAGACGATGGTATCATATCACTTACTATCTTAAACAAAAATAAAGTAGATTTATGGTGCAATCTGAAATTAACCTTTTTTCTCTCTCAAATGTACTCTCCTTTTTTGTGATCTATTTATTTTGATTTTTTTTTTTTAAAAAAAAGATAAAATTCTGGAAAATGTATGTTTGAATGTACTGTTCTACTTGTAGCAGAACTTTTTAAGTTAATCATTTATTGTAATGGATTCCTTTCTTCAGTGTTGGAAAAGAGTTTTATACAAGCGTTAGTGTCGGTAGTTTGCAGGGACGTTTACAACCTGTTCTCCTTCATTTTCCTTTCATACTTCACTTTTTTATATCGAACAGTAGACTTGTCTTCAGCCGATTTTCTGTTGCCAAAGCGTATGTGTTTTCTTTTTGTTGTTGCTGTTGTTAAAAACTCTGACAGAAACAATTGGGGGGGAACCAATCTCATCGAATTGGCAATAGTACGTATGTCAGATGCATTTTTTAAAAATTAGGTTTTTCTGAATGAATACTAACCAAAATTATGACTTCCTAGAAAGTTTTAAAACAAAAAGTTTAATTTGTATTTGTAATTGCCACAAACTGTTTATATTTCCAGAAAGTTTCCTGGAAAGCATAGTGTAGAATTTTATATTTACAACTATACATTCCAGATTGATGTACTCTAGTGGCATTAATGTATTAGATTCTCCTCTTTTTTTCTCTCTTGTATTGTAATTTTTTGCTGTATTTCATACTTATGTTAAACCTGCCAGACATCGTATTACTAAATTGTAACTATAAATAGATAATATATTTAATATGGCCAATAAAAATACAAAATTGTTCACATCGGGCTTGTGGAATTACTCTGTGTGTGTGTGTCATGACTCCTTGGAAGCCATACCATGAAGGTCATTTTTTTGTGTGTGTCAGGACAGGTTTTTTTTCTTGATCAGGAGTGACTTGAGAAACTGCCAGTTGTTTCTGGTGTGAGAGAACTAGCTGTCTGCAAGGATGTTGCCTGGGGATGCCCAGATGTTTTTGATGTCCCCATGGTTCTCTCAGCATGGGGAGCTGGAACTGATAGAGGGAGCTCATCCGCACGCTCCCAGATTCGAACCTCTGACCTGTCGGTCTTGGTCCTGCTGGCACAAGGGTTTTATCCATCGTGCCGCCGGGATCTCCTAGTGAGCTCCAGCTTCCCATGCATGGACAAGCCTCCCACAGAATGGTAAACTATCCAGGCATCCCCTGGGCAACGTCTTGCAGATGGCCAATTCTCTCACACCAGAAGCGACTTGCAGTTTCTCAAGTCACTCTTTATTTTTTTTTAATATGATTTTTATTTGAAGGTTTTTAGTATTGCTTACAATCACAACGCATGCAGGTTATAGTAGACATTGATTGATTCTTTCGGCTTACATCTTTACATTCATCAACATTATCTTTTCAGTACAATCAATTTCATCCCTGCCGAAGTTTCTCATACACCAACAATATAGATTCCTGTCTCTACTTAAGCCTGCACTTTACCTGTTCCTAGCCCAAGGGTGGGGGGTAGGTGGGTCGGAGGAAGGGGAAAGGAAAAAGGTGTTTGGGGTGAAAAGGAGGGGGAGTGGATTGTGTGTTCTGATTCATACTTCCATACATCCCTGTAACTTCCCAACAGTCCCTGGGGTAAAATCACACTTGATTATTTTGCTGAATTACTTTCTGTCATATTGCAGTCCTCAACATTCAATCCCTCATAGAATTAAATTTTTCTTCTCTTTGAGATAGCATCTAAGTGGATACCAGTCTATTCTTCTCTTATTACATACATCATATACCATATTAGATAATGAGTCTAGTTCATGAAATCCCTTATCTTAAGTAACCATGCCTCTAATGGGGGCAGTTCTTTAGATTTCCATTTACTCGCTAACACAGTTCTTGCAGCTGCCGAGAGGTGGAACAATAACCTCTCCTTATTTTGTTCTATTTCAAAATCCAGTAAGTGCAGGAGGTAATACTCCGCCTTTAACTCAAACTTTGTTTGTAGTATTCCCTGTACCTGTAGGTGGACCTCTTTCCAAAAACTCCTCACTTTTTTGCATTGCCACCAGCAGTGTATAAATGTACCCACTTTTGTACCACACTTCCAGCATAGATTACTTGCATCTTTGTGGAATTTTGCCAGCCTTAGCGGTGTAAGGTGCCAGCGTATGAACATCTTATACCAACTCTCTTTGATGGTAACTGATTTGGCAAATTTCATTTTTACTTTCCAGATATCTTCCCAGTCTTTTAACAGGATAGTATGTCCTAAATCCATTGCCCAGGTCACTCTTGACATGAAATATATATATGTATGTATATGTTTATTTATTTATTTATTTATTTATTTACAGCATTTATATTCCGCCCTTCTCACCCCGCAGGGGACTCAGGGCGGATTACAGTGTACACATATATGGCAAACATTCAATGCCAATTTTTGACATACAACATATATAGACATACACAGAGGCTATTTAACTTTTTCTGGCCACCAGGGGAGCTGTCGTTTTCATCGTCCATCTGCGACACTGATGAAGTACTTCCGCATTCTCCACATGCTTTTTTGCTGGAATGCTTTTGCTGGAGTCTTTTATGGCCTCATAAATTAGTTAATTTAGCGTCCCCACACTTTAAGGTGGTACCTAATTTTCCTACTTGACAGATGCAACTGTCTTTCGGGTTGCAAAGGTCGACAACGGGCTACACAATTGGTTGGAAACCCACTCCAACCCGGGCTGGCTTCAAACGCATGACCTTTTGGTCGGAGTGATCTTAATGCAGCTGACACTCAGCCAGCTGCGCCACAATCCCGGTGCTTTCAAATATTTAAAATATCCTTTCAAATATTTAAACATGGCTCTTATGTCTCTTCTCCAACTAAACACAATCACCTTGCTAAGCTACTCAAAACCCATATATCAGAACTGACCCATTGAATCCATTAAATTTGTCTTTGTGATGCCTCACCAAGTGAATAGAATGGGTCTAATTCCAGTTGGGACTAACTTTGTAAAACAGGAAGTTTTTATTCAGTCTCTGAAATCTAGCAAAGCCATGATCTTTAGGCCATGCTGAACACTTGCAAGTTGTAGACTCTTGGGATGGAAAGCACTGAAGTCATAGACATTAGAAGACTGAGACAATGAGGAAAAACAAAATTGTGTTAAAAAACAAAACAAATGTTGCAATTCATAAAGTAAGAAGCTATCATCTGCCTTTGCTACAGTAGTCCACTTGAAATTCATATTGGATAGCTGGTGAAAGAGAGAGATCTTATATTTTAAGGTGATCGTATAATTGGGAGCTGCTTCCAACTCTTCTCATACGAAAGAACTTTTTTCCATACCTTCAACAGAAGCCTTGTCACTCCTGCGTGAGGCCCTCGGCTGCCAGGTCTGCCTCTGATTGAGGAACGTACACACAGCCTTCCTGTATTTCTGGGACATGACGTTATAAAGGATGGGGTTTACGGACGCGCCGAGATAAAACAGCAGCATCGAGACAAGGTTGAAGTACTGGCTGATATCGTAGAGGCCAACGCTTCCTTGGGCAATCTCGTTGAGGCCAACACTTCCTTGGGCAAAAAGGATCCGGCCGACATGTAAGGGGAGCCAACACAGAACGAAAGCCAGGACGACCACGGCTGGAAAGAGGGAGAGAATACCTTTCAATAGTGCAATCCCTTTAGCGAAGTGCCTTCCTTTTAAAAAACTCATTGTCACTTGAGCAAAAAAGTCTGTTAATATACTCTTGGGCAGATCACAAGCAGATGGACCAATGTTAAAACAAGAGTTGCCAGATGTGTCTTTTTCACAAGCCCTGGAAGTGAAAATGTTATTGCACTGTGGACCATTCCACAGTCACGGCAATGAGATTGAGACACTGAAAGTCTTCAATTCTAAGATGCACTTGTTTCTCTAAATAAACATGGCGAAAAATGGGTGCATTTTGAGGTGTATCTCATGTATTTTTGTCAGTGGTCTTACAATTTTTTTATTTATTTCAGATGTTTTTATCCCGTCCGTCTCACTCAGGGCGGCTCGCAACCGGCAACCATTAGGTGCCAAACAATCAGTAGTAATAAAGTCACAATTAAAAATGCTAGCTGAAAACAACGAATTATAAACATCCATTTAAAAGTTAAACAAATCAAAATCTGCATTTGCAGATTGATAGATTGAACCAGTAAAGATAGTAATAAGAAGAAGGAGGAGGAGGAGGAGGATTGAAAAATCAGCTGATGACCCAAAATGCAGACTGTGCAAGGAAGCTGATGAAACCATGGACCATCTCCTCAGCTGTTGCAAGAAAATTGCACAGACAGACTACAAACAAAGACACAACTCTGTGGCCCAGATGATTCACTGGAACTTATGTCACAAGGACCACCTGCCAGCAGTAAAGAATTGGTGGGAATCATAAACCCGCAAAGGTCGTGGAAAATGAACATGCCAAAATACTGTGGGACTTTCGAATCCAGACTGACAAAGTTTTGGAACCCAATACACCAGACATCACCAATCTTAAAAACTCTGGCATAGACACCGAGAAGTGGGAAGCTCTGGCCCTTGAGTGCCCCAACTGGAATTCAACTGTGACCAGCAGTGCTGTAGAATTTGAAGCGGCATGGAGGGCAAAAGAGAGAAACGTGCCAAGAGGAAGGCGCGTCAAGCCAACCCCGACCGGGACCACCTTCCACCTGGAAACTGATGCCCTCACTGCGGGAGAACATGCAGATCAAGAATAGGGCTCCACAGCCACCTACGTACCCACTGCCAGGACACCAAACTTAGAGGACAATCATACTTGGACAACGAGGGATCGCCCAAGTATGGAAGTAAAGTAAAGTGGGAAAACAACAACAACAACAACAACAACAACAATAATAATAATAATAAACTTTATACCCCGCCACCATCTCCCCAGAGGGGACTCGGAACGGCTTACATGAGGCCAACCCTGCAATACCTTACAGCAAAATAAAATACAGAACAACAAAAATAACATCACAAGAAAATAAATAAAACAATCAAGTAAAATAAACAATGCAAAATAACATAATGGAAAATCAATGCAAAATCAAACACAGTAGGTGGGCCAAATGCATGACAAAAAATGATAAACGGAGTTAGGCCTTCAATAAGGTGGGAGAAAAGTGCAGTATGAGGACAACACTGGGTGAACCAACAGGAATGGAATATATGGTCACTCTCCAAGGGCATATTGGAAAAGCCAATTTTTTAGATCTTTCTTAAAGGCTGCTAGGGTGGGGCTTGCTTAATCTCACCAGGTAGCAAGTTCCAAAGCTGGGGGGCCACAGCAGAAAAGTTACAACGCTCCATGCAGTCATGCTAGCCACTTGACCTTGGAGGTGTCTATGGACAATGCTCATTCTAAGATGAGCACCACCCCCAGAGTTGGACACGATTGGGCTTAATGTCAGGGAGAAACCTTTACCTATCTGCCATAATATCATTAAGATTGAGGTATTGTAATCAACCAACCAAATTTGCTCAGGGATAGACGTCTCTTACCTAGCATCTTGATGGTTTGCTGGTGATACCTCTCTCTGGCGGGAGCATGCTGGCCCTCCAGGTTGCGTGCCGTCCTCCAGAGCTTCCTGCAGATCATCCCGTAAAGGAGAACCAAGCAAGACGCAGGTAGGAAAAAGTAAAGAGTGGAAAGCCATGTCATGGTCTCTAGGAGCCCCGAGTGAGCCGCTTCCTCTATGTATTTGCATTCGCCCATTTCTTCCGGAAGGCTCCCGTTGTGATGCTGTACGCCAAAGAGAAAGAGCACCGGGAGGGCCGTCACGAGCGAGCAAAGCCATAGCAGCAGAATTACGGCTTTGACCCGGCTTTTCGTGATGGTCGCTTTGGCTTTCAAGGGGAAACAGATTGCAAAGTATCTCTCGACGCTCAAAGTGGTGATGTGGAGAATGCTGGAGTAAGTGCAGGTCTCGCTGAGGTAGAAAATAAACTTGCAGAGGAAATCGCCAAAGACGTACGGCTTGTACTTCCAAATCCTGTACAAGTCAGACGGCAAGCCGAGCAAAATCAGGCTGTCGGACAGAGCCATGCTGGACAGGTACATGTTCACCGTCGTCCTCATCCCTTTATACCGCTTAAAAATGAGGATAATGGTCACGTTTCCAGCTACGCCCAAGAAAAACATGATGATACAAATGATGGTGACAGGAATCAAGACGGGAATCTTAAACAAGGAGAAAGAAAACTCTTCATAATAGTCCGTATCGTTCCCAAAAGAGGCGTTCAGGGAAAAGGAATCCATTTCTGGCCAAGGCTGGTTTATTCTTACCAAGAGAGGAAAGGTATGGATCCCATTTTGGAAAAGATTGACACTTTGACATGAAGTTTCCAAATGCCACTAAAAGTCTCCACTGACAGGTGACGCTTCCTTGAGCTGCTTCCCTTGCAAGACTGGGGCCTCCGAACATAATATTTCCTAAAGAACATGATGCTGTCGGCTTGTGATATTGACTTCCTGAAACTACACATTTGGCAAAAGGGAGGAACCTGTGTACCTATTGAAAGGAAGAGAAAAACAGAATTGACTCAGCCAGCATTGAACTGAGTCAAAAGTCTACCAAATTCAGTTATTTATTACCGACATTTATATGCCGCCCTTCTCACCCCGAAGGGGACTCAGAGCAGCTTACAAGGTGTGTGTGTGTGTATACACATACATACATACATACATACATACATACAATATTATATTATATTATATTATATTATATTATATATAATATATTATATTATATTATATTATATTATATTATTAGCATAGTACAATATCAGTATCGTTGGTGCAGTGGGTTAAACCCCTGTGCCGGCAGGATTGGAGACCAACAGGTTGCAGGTTCGAATCCGGGGAGAGGCAGATGAGCTCCCTCTATCAGCTCCAGCTCCTCATGCGGGGACATGAGAGAAGCCTCCCACAAGGATGATAAAAAAAATCAAATCATCCAGGCATCACCTGGGCAACGTCCTTGCAGATGGCAAATTCTCTCACAACAGAAGCAACTTGAGCTCCTGACACGACCAAAAGTATTAAATATTACTATATTGTACTAATTTAATTTAATTTACTATACTTGTATAGTATAGTATATTCTCAGCCCTTGGGCGACTCAGAGCGGTTAACAATAGCAAAATTCAATGCTCAAAAACATCATAAAACAGTTAAAAACAATTCAAACAGTAGCATACAGTCAATATAGATCAATAAAACATGTCATTCGCATCTCATAGTTACTATACCATTATATTGTAATATTATTAGTAATATTACATGTAATATAAATATATAATTATAATATATTATTAGTATTAGTATTATATTGCATTAAAGGTAAAGGTTGTCCCCTGACATTAAGTCCAGTCATGTCTGACTCTGGGGTGTAGTGCTCATCTCCATTTCTAAGCCGAAGAGCCAGCGTTGTCCGTAGACACCTCCAAGGTCATGTGGCCGGCATGACTGCATGGAGCGCCGTTACCTTCCCGCCGGAGCGGTACCTATTGATCTACTCACATTTGCATGTTTTCGAACTGCTAGGTTGGCAGAAGCTAGGGTTGACAGCGGAAGCTCACACCGCTCCCCGGAATCGAACCTGCGACCTTTCGATCAACAAGCTCAGCAGCTCAGTGCTTTAACCCACTGCGCCACCGGGGGCTCCTAATATAGCCAATATTACATTACATTACATTACATTATATTATATTATTATATTATTAGCATAGCACAGGAGACAAGGTGGAACTGTTTTCTGCCCCGTCTCTCTTCACTCTGGCCCAGAGCAGCAGTTAATAGTGTTAGAGCTGGAAAACAATAAGAGTATGAACAAGCTCTTAGTTTGTTGTCGAAGGCTTTCGTGGCCGGAATCACTAGGTTGCTGTGGGTTTTCCCGGCTGTATGGCCATGTTCCGGAAGCATTCTCTCCTGACGTTTCGCCCACATCCCTGGCAGGCATCCTCAGAGGTTGTGAGGTCTGTTGGAAACTAGGCAAGTGGGGTTTATATATTTGTGGGAGGTCCAGGGTGGGAGAAAGAACTCTTGTCTGTTGGAGGCAAGTGTGAAAGTTGCCATTGGTCACCTTGATTAGCATCTTCAAAGCTTCAAAGCCTGGCTGCTTCCTGCCTGGTGGAATCCTTTGTTGGGAGGTGTTAGTTGGCCCTGATTGTTTCCTTTCTGGAATTCTAGATACTAGTATTTTATTATTATTTATTTTATTTCCTATATTTATACCCAGCCTTCTCAATCCGAGAGGGCGGCCTCACAAACACCATACAGTGTCATAATAAAACAATCAACAATACATTAAAATATTAAAAATATTAAAACAATAATTAAAACAATTGAAAACTCTAAAATCAGGATGGTAAATAAAGAACAATGAAAAAAATGGGTTCCCCTAGGACTGTAGAGACCAAAATCCACTGATTATAGTAATGCGAATGTATCTAAATTAACTCAATGTATACTTACAAATCCACATGTCAGCTCTGTATTTTGTTGATATGTGGATGTGTAAGTATACATTGAGTTAATTGAAATAAAGAGCAACACTCAGAAAACGGGAATTCCAGACAGGAAACAATCAGGGCCAGCTAACACCTCCCAACAAAGGATTCCACAAGCAGGAAGCAGCCAGGTTTTGAAGCTGCCACACCATTCAATGCTAATCAAGGTGGCCAATTGCAACATTCATACCTGCCTCCAACAGACAAGAGTTCTTTCTCCCACCCTGGATATTATTCCACAGATATATAAATCTCACTTGTCTAGTTTCCAACAGACCTCACAACTTCTGAGGATGCCTGCCATAGATGTGGGCGAAACGTCAGGAGAGAATGCTTCTGGAACATGGCCATACAGTCCGGAAAATTCACAGCAACCCAAGCTCTCTATTGTTGAAGGAAATGTTAATTAATTACTCAAAGTCATAGCTTAAATTAACAAGCAATACAAGGACGCTGAGAAACTTCTTACCTCCTTGCAGACGGTTTGCCTGATCCTTCCATAAATTCAGAGTTGCAGCTTCGTCTTCCTACTTGGAATTGTTACATATTTAGCCTCACTATAATTTTAAATTAAAAACAATCAGCAAAAGCCTTTGCTGTAGCTTTGCTGGAGCAAGCAGCCAGGTATAAAACCCTAGTCAAATGCCACATCTCCCGAGGAAATGCATTGAGAGAGTTTGATTTTTTTGAGTGCCCTGGCCCCTTTCCCCGTCTAAGCATGACAAATACGGCAGCCGTTTTATAGCCATCCATCAGCATCATCGGCCACTTAGGCAGGCCTCATTGAACAGCTGGCTCGGCCTCCCCGTCTTTTTCTCCTCCATCTATCAAGCCAAAGTGGAGACTGTCCCTCGTTACCTGGGAGGTCCGACTTGTGGCTTGATACCGCAAATCTAATTAGGAGGGCTGGATCGATCCCATTTTCCCAGTGTGTCGTAGCAACCGAGGGGGGACGAGACATTTTCGCTGACTCTCGTTTGCCCGAGTCAAGGTGGATTCATACCCAAAGCCAGTTGAGCTACTTTGGCAAAATATTACACAAGCCGCCCAAAATCTGTTGTCCAAAGGAACAACCTGACTATGCCTAATTGTAGGACTGGCTCTGCTTATCCAATGAGTTGTGCACATGAAGCGGGATTATTTTCCCCTTCTGTCCAGGACTTATTTGAAACAGATGGAAGGATTTTGGCTGAGTGTGTATTTCCTTATACATTAGTCCAGGAGCCATATGATCACCAATTCCGTCATTGGGAAGCTGTGCTTTTTCCTTCTTTGATCATTAACTAAGCTTAGCTAAACACTTGGCAACACCAAATAAGGAGAGGCCATTGGGAGCTAAAAGATTAATATGAGATACATCCCAAAGGAGATGCAATGGGTTAAACCTTTGTGCTGGCAAGAGGTCAGAGGTTCGAATCCAGGGAGAGTATGGATGAGCTCCATGTGTCAGCTCCAACTCCCATGCGGGGACATGAGAGAAGCCTCTCGCAAGGATGGTAAAACCACCCTGAGGCCCCTTCAGGGTTGAGAAGTATGGTAAAGAAATACCACAAATAATAAATAAATAAATCTATATAAATAAAAATGTAATGTTCGTTTGTGGGATTAATAGAACTCAGAAACCACTGGACAAATTAACTCCAAATTTGGACACAAGACATCTACTAAAGCAATCTATGTCCTTCACTCAAAAAAGATACCTATATGCCTATGATATCTATGTCTATAATAATAATAAAAAATGTAATGTTCGTTTGTGGGATTAATAGAACTCAGAAACCACTGGACGAATTGACACCAAATTTGGACACAAGACATCTACTAAAGCAATCTATGTCCTTCACTCAAAAGAGATACCTATATGCCTATGATATCTATGTCTATAATAATAATAATAATATCTATATGCACGTATAATGTGTATACATCTATAATAATAATAAGAGCTATATAATATCTGCCATAATAATATCTATATGCCTATAATATCTATAGGTCTGTAATAATATCCATACATCTGTTGCCCGTTTTTGCTCGAAAGATGTTTAGCCCTGTGCTCCTTCTATTTTTTATCAGTTTTATACTAATTCATGCAATGCTTTGAGTCCCCCCAGGGGTGAGAAAGGTGGTATATAAATACTGTAAATAATAATAATAAAATTTTGATATGAAATAAAAAATAACATCTATAATAATAATACTGATATACCTTTAATAATAATATTTGTGTCTATAATAATAATAATGTCTATATGCCTATAATAATATCTATATGTCTATAACAACAACAACAATACTTATAATATCTTTGAACTGGTTTATATGGCAGTGTGGACTCAGGTAACCCAGGGCCCTTCCACACATCCATATAACCCTTTGGCCTCAAGGAGACTGAAAAGGGGCCTATATTAGGTTGACACTTTGCCACTTCAGTTGTGTATTGATAGCTTAGAAACCAGCTCTTTCTCTTTTCTTTCTTTCCCATTTCTCCACAATGGGCCCAGCAACGCGTAGCCGGGTACAACTAGTCTATATAAATAAAAATGTAATGTTCGTTTGTGGGATTAACACAACTCAAAAACCACTGGACGAATTGGCACCAAATTTGGCAAAAAGACACCTACTAACCCAAGAAGTGTCCATCACTCAAAAAAAATTAATTTTGTCATTTTGGAGTTGTAGTTGCTGGGATTTATAGTTCACCTACAATCAAATGATGGAATTGAACCAAACTTGGCACACAGGACTTCCAAGACCAACAGAAAACACTAGAAGGGTTTGGTGGGCATTGACCTGGAGTTTTGAAGTTATAGTTTACCTACATCCAGAGAGCATCGTGGACTCAAACAATGATGGATCTGGACCAAACTGGGCACGAATACTCCATATGCTCAAATGTGAACACTGGTGGAGTTTGGGGAAAATAGACCTTGACATTTGGGAGTTGTAGTTACTGGGATTCATAGTTCACCTACAATCAAAGAGCATTCTGAATCCCACGAATGACAGAATTGGGGCAAATTTCCCACACAGAACCCCAATGACCAACAGAAAATACTTAAGGCCATCCAGTCCAACTCCTTTCATCAGGGCAAGAAAACGTAATCAAAGCCCTCCTGACAAAGAACCATCCAGCCATAGATATAGAGAGATAGGTATGATTCACACACAGAGAGATATAGTGTCATAGATTTTGAAAGGGACCCCTAAAGAAGGACAATATGTTGCCTGTTCCAGGGTGGGCAAACCAGACAATCTCACCATCAACACTGACAAAGAAACAGCAAGAAATACTGTTTACCCACAAGCATAAAGAAATTATATATATTAGAAACCAACACTTTCTCATTACTTTATTTTCCAGATCACCAGACTGAGCCACAGCAACGCGTGGCTGGGGATAGCTAGTAAATAAATAAAAACATCAAAATATCCAGGCATCCCCTGGGCAACATCCTTGCAGACAACCAATTCTCTCACTTCAGAAGCAACTTGCAGTTTCTCAAGTTGCTCCTGATATGAAAAAAAATTCTGAAGGAGTTTCCTTGCTTCACTTTCCATGCAGGACACTCATACTCTGGAAAGAAGTAGGGAAACCGAAGGGGACAAAGGACCTGGTTTGATTAATAAACAAACATGGCAGGGACCTAACAGAAGCTGAAGAGATCAAGAGAAGGTGGCGAGACTATACAGAAGATCTGTATAGGAAGGATAATAATATCAAGGATAGCTTTGATGGTGTGGTGAGTGAATTAGAACCAGACATCCTGAGGAGTCATCCTGATGCAAGCTTTCCGTAGACATTAAGGACCACAAATCTTGACCAAAAGAACCAGCAAAAGCATGGAATTTCCCACCGTTTTATTGTAAAAACAACTAGGCAAGGCACCGCGACAGACTAGCGGAAGGCTCCCGAACAGAAAGGGAGCCGAAGCAGCGTCAGTTCTCTGAGCCGCTGGTGTCCCCCTTCTCTTCCTTGGTTTCCATTAAGCCACTCTCGTCTATGTTCTCCAGAGAGGAGGCGTGTTGGAGACACAGGTCGGAGAGGGCCATGGTGGGGAGCTCGTTCTGTTCAGGGTGCAACCATGGCTTTAGGCTCGCCTTGTGGTCCTGCTTCCAGGAGGGGTACTTCAAGCACGCTTTGTGCATCTTCTTCATCATCTGGCCACAAGGAGGGGAAAAGAGAGGGTTAAAAATGAAGATGCGTTGCAGTAGTCGAGGGGCCACCACAGAGAAGGCCCTGTCTCTCATCACTGCCAAATGTACTTGTGATGAAGGCGGGATCGAGAGCAGGGCCTCCCCAAGATGATCTTAAAGTCCTAGATGGTTCATAAGGGGAGATGTTTCGGACAGGTAGATTGGGCCAGAACCGTTTAGGGCTTTATAGGCTAAAACCAGCACTTTGAATTGTTCCCGGTAGCAAACTGGCAACCAGTGGAGCTGGCACAACAGAGTAGTTATGTGCTCCCTGTTAACAATCTGGCTGCTGTCTGTTGGACCAACGGAAGCTTCTGGACAGACTTTAAAGGCAACCGCACATAGAGCGCGTTGCAATAGTCTATATTGGATGTAACCAGGCTTGGCTACGGTAATGTCCTCGCAGTTTCCAAGCCTGGTTGGTTGCTTCCTGGGGAATCCTATGTTGGGAGGTGTTAGCTGGGCCTGATTGATTCTTTTCTGGAGTTCCCCTGGATTTTATTTTTTTTTACTGTTGCTCCAATGTCAGACAGACTACACAGAGAAGCCATTGAAATCCACAAAAACATGTGGACAATTTCAACCAAAAGGAAGAAACCATGAAAATGAACCAAATCTGGCTATCAGTATTAAATAAGTCTAAAATAAGGACAGTAACTAAAGAACAACGCTGCCTGAAGGCTGCAGCGAGTCAACTGATACTTGTCCCAGGCTCAACTGAGACCTCCTTACCTTTGGTGCCAGGTACTGGGAAGCTTTATTCACAACCCACTTGGGCAGCGACCCTAGTTTATGGAAGAAACAGGAGAAAACACTATGAATCAACTGTAAAAGGAAAAGGAGTTGTGATTCCAGAAAAAAGTGTCATTAGACCATGTCTATGAAATTCTTAGAGGCTGGAAAATGGGAAAGAGAGAATTAAAATGCAGCAACAGGAAGCAGAAGGAGGAAGTTCATTCTAAGTTCAAGCATGCAAAACCCACTGTGTCCAAACATGGAAAATGAACCAAATGGGTGGCTAAGGCAAGGTGGACTAGCCAGTCCAAGCCCAGCCTTGAAGTGGACTAAAGTGGCAACTGCTTAGTGACTGAGTAGCAGAAAAACAAGTTAGTAGGTAATGGTTTCCTCCACGAGATTTCTTTTCAAATGCTGGGAATGATTTCTAAGTTTGCAACACGGGGAAGTTGCCTCTGACCAAATTAAGCTTTGGATACAGTGGGTTTCCAGGGTCCTAAGTAGTAACAGTGGTGGATCCCACCCATCTTCTGCAACCAGACTTTTTTTTTCAACTGGAGCAAAAGCAGAATGAGCAAGAAGGTTTCTCAGATTCAGCAGGGTCGGCACATTACCTTTTAATAGTTAAGTAATACATGTGTAACAACAGGGACACTCTTCCAGTTAAACAACTGGAAGCAAAGCTAACATAAATAACTGCACCAATAAAGCATAGATAGTTAGTTAGATAGATAGATAGATAGAGAGATAGAGAGAGATATAGATAGATATAGAGATATATAGAGGGATATAGATATAGACAGACAGACAGACAGACAGACAGACAGAAAGAAAGAAAGAAAGAAAGAAAGAAAGAAAGAAAGAAAGAAAGAAAAAAAAAACTTCTGTTAGAGAAGTAATGCCCAGGAACACAAACTAAAGCTTCGTGGCAAGTTATGAACTTATACAGGCAGTCCCCAAGTTATGAACAAAATATATTTTGTAGGTTTGTTCTTAAGTTGAATTTGTATTTAATTTGGAACAGGTACTTTTAAAAAGTGTAACATCAGTCAGATATCTATCTATCTATCTATCTATCTATCTATCTATCTATCTATCTATCTATCTATCTATCTGTGTCAGAAGTGACTTGAGAAACTGCAAGTTGCTTCTGGTGTGAGAGAATTGGCTGTCTACAAGGACGTTGCCCAGGGGATGCCCAGATATGTTACCATCCTGTGGGAGGCTTCTCTCATGTCTCCGCATGGGAAGCTGGAGCTGACAGTGTTTGTTTGTATGTGTGCATGTGGGTGGCAGTGTATTTTTGTGGCAGATTTCCTATGGGCACCTACTTCCAGAAACCATTGTAATTCCCACCAATGACGGACCTGAATCAAACTTGGGACACCCCCCCCCTCCATGACGCACTTTATGTCGTGGGGAGGTTTGTGTGAGGATGGGCCATGGATGATGGGTTTTGCAGTACTTTCCATCACATCCAGAGACTACTCCTAATCCCATCAGCCATGGAACTGGACCAAACTTGGGACACAGATCTCCCCATGACTATTTTAAACACTCACAGGGTTTGGGGAGAAATGACAGAGGATGATGGGACTTATAGCTAACCCATAACCATATGTATTTTGTAATGTTTATCTTTATTTCCGGGTACGTAAGCTAGTATATATATGAGCTTTGGATGGCATAGAGAAGGGTTAACATCCTTGTGATGTTTCCTTTGCTATCTGTGCTCCTGTGCCGAAGATTTCAACTCACGTTTTGTCCCGGTGATCATTAGAATTTCAAAAATTTGGTTTGTTGTGGAAACAAGGATTGGAGATAAAACTTCAATGGAGAACCCTCTTCCCCAGGATATTAGCAATGCTCTTAGGAGTGAATTTCCCTTCCAAGGGACAGATTTCTCTCACTTCCTGTTGTCTCACCCCCGTTCTTAAGCAGAAGTTGTTTGTAAGTGAAGTCTTTGCTAACTCAGGGACTGCGTTTACTGGGCTATAAGAATACACACTTACCTTTCGGATCAACTTGGGCCAGGTAAGTCAAGCGACAGCCATTGGTTCCGGTGGGTTCCACTAAATATCCAGCCAATATGGACACCGCCCGAACCAGGTCTTTGCGGGGAGGGTACTTCTGCCAAAACAACAACCAGGTAAGTCAGGGAGAGAGAAAGCTATGGAAGTGGGAAAAGAGGGTTTGGCTGGATTCTCCAAACCTATAATGGGCTCTGCTTGCTTCCAAGGCCCAAATTTAGCAAACGTAGCCAAGCTCGCCAACGAATCAGTGCAGCAACTGTGCCAGCTGTCTTCTCACTCAGGATCACACCCAGGGCAATTTCTTGCACCACTGCGCCCTACCCAACCCACAAGGTAGAGAGAGGCCATTCTGTTCTAGAAAAGAAGGCTAAATATGCCTTGCCTCAACTGATTTTCATTAATGTTGCTCAGTTATTTTATTTATTTATTTGTTTGTTTGTTTGTTTGTTTGTTTGTTTGTTTGTTTATTTATTTATTATTTGAACTTATATGCCGCCACTCCCCTGGGGCTCGGAGCGGCTTACAAGAACAGGTTAAAATCAAACACAATTTAAAAACAATTTAAAACAATTTAAAAAATAGCAATATCAACAATCAAATGCCTGTCGAAACAGGTATGTTTTACATGCCCTGCGGAAAGCTGATAAGTCCTGAAAGGCACGGACTTCAGGTGGCAGAGTATTCCAGAGTGATGGTGCCACTGCTGTAAAGGCTCTGCGTCTGGTTGCTGTTAGACGCAAGGTCTTGACACTGGGAATTTCCAATAGATCTTGGTCCTCAGAACGGAGGGATCTCTGGGGTTGGTAGGGGGTGAGGCGGTCCCTCAGGTACATCGGCCCCAGACCATGCAAGGCCTTAAAGGTGAGTACCATCACTTTGAAAGTGATCCGGTGCTCAATTGGTAACCAATGCAGCTGTAGTAAGATTGGGATTATGTGGCATCTCATCGGAGTTCCCGCAAGAAACCAAGCAGCTGCATTTTGTACCAACTTGAGCTTCCGGATCACCGACAGAGGAAGGCCAATGTAGAGGGCGTTACAGTAGTCCAGTCTTGAGATGACCGGATTGTAAGCTAATTTAAATCGTCCCTGGACAGGGAGGGGGGCAGCCGTCTAGCCTGCCGCAGATGAAAAAAGGCGGTTCTGCTCACGGTGGAGACCTGGGCCTCCATCGTCAGCACAGTTAGCAGTGACATCTATGTTTCAAAGGTATTGGCAAGCAGAAGTAAAAAAAAAGGCCCCTCCAAAACGCTGGAGTGGCCCTTTCACATCCCATAGCTATATCACTATTTATTTATTTACTCCATTTATATCCTGCCTTTCTCACACTGCAGGGTACTCAAAGCAGCTTACAAACTCTGGCAAAAATTCAATGCCACATTATAAAACAACAATAAAACAAGCCATAGTAAAGGTAAAGGTTTTCCCCTGGCATTAAATCCAGTCGTGTCCAACTCTGGGGGTTGGTGCTCATCTCCATTTCTAAGCTGAAGAGCTGGTGTTGTCCATAGATGCCTCCAAGGTCATGTGGCTGGTATGATTGCATGGAGCGCTGTTACCTTCCTGCCGGAGCAGTACTTATTGATCTCCGCACATTTGCATGTTTTCGAACTGCTAGGTTGACAGAAGCTGGGCCTAACAGCGGGAGCTCATGCTGCTCCCCGGATTCAAACTTGTGACCTTTCGGTCAGCAAGTTCAGCAGCTCAGCGCTTTAACCCACTGTGCGACCAAGGGCTCCTTGCCATATCACAAGCCATATCACACTATAAAGCAGTTAAAACATATAAACAATAAACACACATAAAAGCAAGAAAACAAATTAAAAACATATTAGATTAAAACATAACAAAGTGCCAAGTCTTGGTTTTCATAGTTATTGATTTTCCCATAGTCATAATTCAAGTTGTTGAGGTCGATTCTATATGATCCTATTCTCCGAATGCCTGTGTAGAGAGCCAAGTCTTTAGCCTTTTCTTGAAAACCAGGAGGGATGGGGCCAGCCTGATGTCACTGGGGAGGGAGTTCCACAACCGAGGGGCCACCGCTGAGAAGGCTTTGTCTCTCACTCCCATCAGTGGCACTTGTGAGAGGGGTGGGACCGAGAGCAGGGCCTCCCCAGAAGATCTTAGTTTTCATGGTGGTTTGTAAAGGGATATGCATTTGGACAGGTAAACTGGGCCAGGGCTGTTTAGGGCTTTATAGGCCAAAACGAGCACTTTGAATTGGGCCAGGTAGCAAACTGGCAGCCAGTGGAGCTCACATAACAGGGTTGTATGCTCCCTGTACGTCACTCCAGTTATTAACGTGGCTGCCTCTTGTTGGACTACTTGGAGCTTCTGGACAGTCTTCAAAGACAGCCCCACGTAGAGCGTGTTGCAGTAGTCTATCCTTGATGTAATGAGAGCGTGGGCCACCATGGCCAAGTCTGACTTCCCAAAGTATGGGTGCAGCTGGCGTACAAGTTTTAATTGTGTGAAAGCCCCCCTAGCCACTGCCGCAACCTGAATCCAGGAGAACTCCCAAGCTGCAAACCTGCACCTTCAAGGGGAGAGTAGATGTTAAACAACATGGAGGACAATACTGAACCCTGCGGGACAGCACAAGACAAAGACAAGCAGGTGTCCCCCAACAACATCTGAGAGTGGCCCTCCAGGAAGAACTATGATTTCACTTTGGGAAAAAATATCATTACTTTTATTACTTCTTATCAAAAGCATTTCATAAATTAGTATAAAACCGATAAAAATAGAAGGACCGCAGGTGGCCAAATATCTTTGACCAAAAACGGGCAACAGCAATGGCATTGTCTGTAGCCTCCAACAATTCTTCCTCTGTACATGAGGCAGGGCATAGTGGACAGGCATACAGATGCAGAGTTGTCTGTTCTGCTCCAGTCACATAAATTAATTTTCAATATCATTACTGAAAACCACCAATAAAAACACATATGGCGCAATATAAACACATATAATATATACCAGGCATGGGCAAACTTTGGTCCTCTAGGTATTTTAGACTTCAACTCCCACAATTCCTAACAGCCGGTGGTTTGCAAACATTAGGGTCCCACAAAAGGTCATCCCCGGTGGCGCAGTGGGTTAAACCCCTGTGCTGGCAGGACTGAAGACCGACAGGTCGCAGGTTCGAATCCGGGGAGAGGTGGATGAGCTCCCTCTATCAGCTCCAGCTCCTCATGCGGGGACATGAGAGAAGCCTCCCACAAGGATGATAAAAACATCAAACATCTGGGCATCCCTGGGCAACATCCTTGCAGATGGCCAATTCTCTCATACCAGAAGCGACTTGCAGTTTCTCAAGTCACTCCAGACATGACAAAAAAAATTGGTAAGGATGCCGCAAAAAAAAAAATCCCCAAAATCAAATTGAACATGGATTCTAAAATATAACCATACAAGGCCAGTTGTTAACTGGCATTTCAGCATTTTACAACACGAGTGATTTCATACATAGTTGATTTATATACTTGTTTGACATTTGTTTTCCTAAATCTTTTTTCTTTCTTGTATGGTTTTTGAGATGAAAGACATTTGGGACACTGGGATATTAATCACAAAATAAATAAAATTAAACTCAAAAACTAGGCATTAAAGATGAAATTGGGAGACACATTTCAAGAGGTGTAAAGTGATCCAGAATACATTGGAATGGGATGGAGTCACATGCAGACACATAATTACATGACTGAGTATGATTATTATGCTCTGTGTTCACTTACTGGGTGTTTGACAGAAAAATTAAGGATAACGTAAGACTTGTCCAGGACTCGCCAAGACCTCAGCGTCACCACATCTCTGTTGCGTAAGGGCTTTGGGCACTTCCCTGGTTGAAAGAAAAGAGAAGTCGCCTCACCATCTGGTCTGGAGTTGTTACTTAACATACACTTTGCACAAACTTGTTGTTTCACATACATTATTCTGTTTCACTCCACATATATTGAACTACAGCAGGCCCTCCAGTTTTGTGGGGGCTAGCACTGCAAGACAGATACACACACACACACATATGAAAGTGGGAAAATCACATTGGTTTACCAGTGGTTCTCAACCTTTTTATAACCCGGGACCATTCTCCAACATTAGTACCATTTTTTTTTCAGGTAATGCATCACCTGGTTTTTTTTGTTTTCTTTTTGTTTTTTGAATTTTATTTTTATTTTATTTAAGTAAACATACATTTGCAAGTGTTTGTTGCATATAGTGCAATACTTTCTATCTATTAATGTTCTATAATCCTTTATCTCATAATATATTTCTATTAAGGGGTCACAGTCTACTATCTAAATAATACATAGAAAGATATAATAGATTCTTACTTTACATCCACTTCTTCCTTGTCTAAAGTCTTATAGGATCCTCTATATACATTTTTAATTTAACTTTACATTAAGGTGTTGAATCATTGGTTGCCATTCGTTAACAAAGTTCTCTAGTATTTCTCCTCTTAATAATACAGTTATTTTGTCCATTATCAACATATCTATAATATATTTTTCCCATTCTTCTAAAGGAGGTATATCTGGGGTTTTCCAATATCTAGCATATACTATTCTAGCTGCCACTGTTGTGTAAAACAAATTAGTACCAAATTTTAAAGTGGAAACTAGAAAAGGAGAAAGGCCTGATGGGGTTCATATACAATAAATTAGTTGGAATTCAATATAATTTGAAACATGATTTGAAACCAATAAATTGGTTTTGAATACAAAAGAACCCCCCCCCCCCCCCAGAAATTATACAAGAATGAAAACATCAAAGATTGGGGGAAAATTATAAAATACATGATAGTTGCTGCCCAAGCAACTGTGGCCTTGGGGTGGAAAGACCACAGAAAGTGGGAAGTTAAAAAATGGCATGGTTACCTAGCAGATTTTATGCTTCAGGACTACATCTCTGAAAGAAGAGCCAAATATACATCATGCTGAATCAAGAAGACCTGGGTTCAGAAATGGGGAAGACTGATAGAAAAGGATCAAAGGAAAAGAAAGATATAAAGAACTGAACCATTCTCTTTCTATATTTGATATGTATTCGGAAATGATGATGGATTGTGAAATTCTACCCGTGTCGACAATAAAAACATATATTTTTAAAAAAACACATTAGTACCAAAGTTTTTGGTCAACTTTAGATTCAGTTTGGTTATTTGGGGAGCCGATTCAGAAAATTGCTAGACCACATCAGCTCTAGTTTCTGATACAGACCATATACCATCCAGTAGTCGCCATCTGCTCATCCACAGAAAACCACATTTAATAATCTAGAGCTAATATGGTAGTAGTAATCTTTCATAGGTAGTCAGCCTCTCCCCTTCCAACATCCCTGTTGCCTTGGCACTGTAAGAGGGTTTCACAAGATGAGTCGCTCTTGTTGCCGCATGGTTTCAAGGCAATGGTGTAGTAATGGTGAGGCCACGGACCATATTTTCATTCTTGCAGACCACTGGTGGTCCATGGACCACTGGTTGGAAACCACTGGTTTAGTCTGTGAGAACACCTCTCTAGGGCTTCCAGTATAGTCAATGAATATCAACTTTGTTTCATGCACAATCTTATTCAAAATTAGCTTTTGGTTATATGTATAAGGTTCATACTGAAGTACAAAGGGTTTTTGTCTTTAGAAGTAGGCCACACCTTCAAAATGTCTCATTAAAGATGTATATGTAAATTCAGAAATATGGAACACTCCTGGTCCGGGTCCCATGCACTTTGGATAAGGCATGCTCAATCTGTATTTACTGTATTGTAATCATTCACTGTCTTTGCAATATTGTATAGTTTTAGAATGTAACTGTTTACGACATATCATATGGTTTCCAGACCTATAACGTTTTGGTCTTCTGGACAGCTTCCAATTTGTTGATATTCTTCTTTGATTGAACTGGACACAATAGACTAAGTAAGGTTTGACCAAGGCAGAATAGAGTGGGACTATGACTTCCCTTAAACGAGATGCTAAACTCCTCTTGATGCAGCCGAGAATTGCATTGGCCTTTTTAGCTGTCACATCACAGTGTTGACTCCCAGTCTACTAAGGACCTCATCACTCTAGAGAATGAATCCACTTTAAATCCGGTTTCTGTCTCCTGCAGAATTCCGTGGTGTAGGGAGGAGCTTTTAACAGCCTCACTAAACTACAAACCCCAGAATTCTTCAAGAGGCAGAAACTGGATTTAAAGTGGATTCATTCTCTAGTGTGATGAAGTAGTAAAGACATTTAGATTCCTTTCACATGGATTGCTTTCAAGCCAGATCCAACCCACTCCAGGTCTAGGCATTTCATTTTTTTTCCTACCAAAGTTCAGGACCTTAGATTTCCACTAGATTCCTATTGATGCAGCCTAGAATCACCTTGGCCTTTTTCGCTGCCACATTACATTCTTGGCTTATGTTCAGCTTGTAGTCCACTGAAACTCCCAGGCCTTTTTCACAAGGATGGTTTTGAAGCCAGGAGTTCCCTTCTGCATTTGATTTAGGTGGCCATGTATATATATACAGCTTTTAATGAATACGTTGAAAGGAGCTTTGGATTGTTGCCCAAATCCCACCCACCTCTCCTGTCATTGCCAGCCATTCATCCCAACCCTTGGGTCATCCAGACTCACACGAATAATAGCCTACGTCAGCACTGTCTGAGAGACGGGCGATCTCGTGCGTCTCGATGACGTTGGCATCCCACTTCTTCCGATACTCCGTGTCGTGCAGCACATCATAAGCCGTCTCAGCTGGGACGTCCGGCATCTCAATGCAGCCCTGAGGATGCAAGGAGAGTTAGTGTCAAGGCATCATTTTGAGGGCACACATCAGGCTGCCAGTTTGGTCCTCCGTTCATCCACTAAAGGACTGTCCACACTGTAGAACAGGCATGGATAAAC